CCTCCTCTTCATAGGCATCACCTTCATCCTGGCGACTCCACGAGCCCTCCCCCGCCTCTCCTCTCTCGCCAGCCAGCTTCGATTCTCCCCCGTGTCCTCCCAAAACCCTCTGTCTGCGACGGCCACCGCCAAACGTCCCCTGACCACCAGCACCATGGTGCCAGACAAGTACAAGTCGCCGCCCCAGGCGCCGCCCACCTTCACGGGCACCAAGGACTCCATCGTCGCCGACGCCAAGAAGATGTGCGCCAAGACCCGCGCCCTGCTCGACAAGATCTCGGCCGACGTCTCGGTCGACAAGGCCACCTTCCAGGACGTCATGGCCCCCATCATCAAGGACGAGAACGAGGCCGCCCTCGAGGGCAGGCTTCTGGGGTTCTACCAATACGTGGCCGCCGACGCCGAGCTGCGGACCGCCTCCACCGAGGCCGACAAGCTGATGGACGAGTTTGGTATCGAGTGTGCCATGCGTGAGGATATCTACAAGCTGGTCGATGCTACCTTTTCTCGCAAGGACGCGGAGAAGGACCTCGACCCCGAGGACCTGCGCCTGCTGGAGAAGGACCGGAAAGCCTACCTCAAGTTCGGTCTCGGCCTGCCCGCTGGTCCTCAGCGTGACCGCTTCAAGGAGATCAAGACCCGCCTCAGCCAGATCCAGATTGAATTCCAGAAGAACCTCAACGAAGAGGATGGCGGCATCTGGTTTACGCCCGAGGAGCTCGACGGCGTGCCCTCGGACGTCGTAGAGGGACTGGCCAAGGGCGAGGGCGAGAATGACGGCAAGGTCAAGCTGACCTTCAAGTACCCCGACCTGTTCCCGACCCTGAAATACGCCAAGAACCCCAAGACGCGCGAGAAGGTCTTCATCGAGAACGAGAACAAGTGCAACCAGAACGTCCCTCTCTTCGCCGAGGCCGTCACGCTGCGTGACGAGGCCGCGCGCATGCTCGGATACCCCAACCACGCCCAGCTCAAGATTGAGGACAAGATGGCCAAGTCGACCGATACAGTCGACGAGTTCCTCGGCGACCTGCGCGAGCGTCTGACGGCTGGTGGCGCCAAGGAGGTGGAGCACCTGCTCGAGTTGAAGAAGGCCGATGTCGAGGCTAGTGGCAAGTCCTACGATGGCAACTACTACCTCTGGGACCACAAGTTCTACGACCGTCTCATGATTGAGAAGGAGTACAGCATCGACGAGACCAAGGTGGCCGATTACTTCCCCATCACTTCGACCATTTCGGGCATGCTGAAGATCTTTGAGGAGCTTCTCGGTCTCGTGTTTGTGGAGCTGAAGGATGCGGACCGCGATGCCCTGAGCCCGACAGGCAAGGGCCAAGACATTGTGTGGCACGAGGATGTGGTTCTGTTCAGCGTTTGGGATGACGTGTCCGAGGGGTGACGGCTTCGTCGGCTACCTCTACCTCGACCTCCACCCGCGTCCCGGCAAGTACGGACACGCCGCCAACTTCAACCTGCAGCCGGGGTTCCTGCGCGAGGATGGATCGCGTCGCTACCCCGCCACGTCGCTGGTCTGCAACTTTAGCAAGCCCACGCCGAAGAAGCCGTCGCTGCTGAAGCACGATGAGGTCGTCACGCTGTTCCACGAGCTGGGCCACGGCATCCACGACCTTGCGGGCCGCACCAAGCACAGCCGATTCCACGGCACCAGCGTAGTCAGGGACTTTGTTGAGGCGCCGTCGCAGATGCTGGAGAACTGGTGCTGGACGCCCAGCGTGCTCACGTCGCTTTCCAGCCATTACGAGACGGGCGAGAAGATCCCCGACGACCTCGTCGAGAAGCTCATGTCGACGAAGCACGTCAACTCGGCCCTGTTCAACCTGCGCCAGCTGCACTTTGGCATCTTCGACATGGCGATCCACACGCCCAAGACGCACGAGGAAGCGAAGAACCTGAAGCTGTCGGAGCTCTACAACAATCTGCGCAGCGAGATTGCGGGCCTCAAGGGCCCCGAGGCCAAGGGCGAGAAGGGGTGAGTCTGACACGAGAATACGACTTGAGAGACTTGTGCTGACATGCATGTTCCAGCGGCAACGGCCAGGCGACATTCGGTCACCTCATTGGCGGCTACGACGCTGGCTACTACGGCTACCTGTATTCCGAGGTGTACTCGACTGACATGTTCCACTCCGTGTTCAAAGCGGACCCCATGAACGGCAAGGAGGGCCGTCGTTACCGTCACACGGTTCTGGAGAAGGGCGGCAGCCGGGACGAGATGGTGTCTCTGGAGGAGTTCCTCGGCCGCAAGCCCAGTACTGCAGCGTTCTACAAGGAGCTCGGTATCCCGATTTAATGCTGATGGGCTGGGGGGGCTTTGGCGTATGCGGCCGTATCCTTGCAAGAGGTGTATCCTACAGTGTCTAGACCTAGGAGCGGAAGAAGTCGATGAACGAAGCGGATGACCTTGTGCCAGAACAGGCGAATCATGGTGCCTTGCTGTCTGCCTAGGTACCTAAGATAGCTATTAATGTTCACTGACTAATATACATTGAGTTGTACCTGGGTAGGTATCTAAGTAGCCTGGTACGTACCTGGAAGTAGGGTGCACGGGCCATATGGTCTGCCCCACCGCTTGGAGACGGATGTAAACAAACGCGACACTCGCAACTACAATTGCAGGTCCAAACAGTAGCATCCGATCCTGGGGTCCAACTCGCCGTCTCCAGATTTCGTCCTTGCACCGCATTCCTGCCACGACATCAGTGCCAGTATTTTTTCCCCCTTGCTCCATCACCTTTTCCTAGAGATTTTGCCTCGCGACTTGATGGTGTCCATGACTTAATCCTCGGTTTCCTCACTGTCGCCTCCGCACGCGTCCCCCGACTGGCGCGTCTCATCATCGATCAATTGACTTCCCCCCCCCCCATCGCCGTACGCAAATCAAGTTCGATACATATACACACCGCGCTCGAAGAAGAGCGTCCCACGGTTCCAAAATGGCCACAGCGCTCGTGGCCCCCGAGTTCACTTTTGAAGGGCGAAAGGCCTCCTTCGAGAAGAAGGTCCCGGCCCCGAAGCGACGAGGCTCCGCGGCGACCAAGACGGCCAAGACGCTGACATGGCCGCACGCCAGGTTCCTCTCCCCCGAATCGGTAGGCCTCCATTGTGTACGGCCCCGTATATGGGATGTGTGCGTTTTCGCTGACCCCTCTGCGCCCCCGCAGCTCGCCCGCGCCGGCTTCAGCTGGCGCCCGCTCGACGGCAGCCCCGACAACGTGCAGTGCTTCCTGTGCAACAAGTCGCTCGACGGCTGGGAGGAGGGCGACGACCCGCTCGACGAACACGTCAAGCACGCGCCGCAGTGCGGCTGGGCCGTCTGCGCCGCCATTGAGGCGGGCTATGCCGGCTTTGTCAGCGAGGATCCCAACCTGCCGCGCATGCTCGAGGCGGGCAAGGCGACGTTTGCCGGGCTGTGGCCGCATGATGGCAAGAGGGGGTGGAAGTGCAAGACGAAACAGGTTGGTTGCTGCCCTTTTTTCTGCTTGCTTGCTTGCTTGCTTGCTTGCTTGCTTGCTTGCTTGCTTGCTTGCTTGCTTGCTTGCTTGCTTGCTTGCTTGCTTGCTTTCTCTGGGAAGCAAAGGCTGACGATTTGGTGTAGCTTGCTGAGGCTGGCTGGAAGTGGACGCCCATGGCTGAGTATGATGACATGGCTACGTGTGCGTACTGCGAGCTGGCGCTTGACGGGTGGGAGCAAGGGGATAAGCCACTGTGAGTTTGGATTCTTCTGGTTGACCGCCGGCTTCAACGCTTTGCTGACTTGCTGCTTTCCACAGAGACGAACACATGAGCCGGTCGCCCGACTGTCCGTTCTTTGCCCTCCTCGAGGAGCACGCTGACAAGCGCAAGGCCTCCAAGGCGAAGAGCGCGCGAGGCTCCAAGGTTTCGCGCGCCTCGGTCCAGTCGGTCGCGACGACGGTCGAGGAGGTGTCCTCCATAGCCGACGACATGCCCGCCGAGTACGACGACAGCATCATGACGACTGCCTCCGCGACGAACAAGAAGGGCGGACGGGCAAAGAAGACGACAACGGCTACAACGGCCAAGGCACGAAAGACGAAGACCAAGAAGGAACAATCAGTAGAAGCACAGGATGTGGACTCTGGGATCGAGGAGGACATGCCGCCACCGCCAGCGAAGCCTGTTCGTGGGCGTAAACGCGCTAGTGACGCGCTCGACGACTCCATCATGACGAATGCTGAAGCTCCGGCACCCAAGAAGCGGGCCACGAAAATCCGCGCTAGCAACGCTACAGATGCCTCGGTCGTGGAACCTGCCTCGGTCGATATCGAAGTGGACGATGCGCCGCAGCCCAAGACCAAGGGTCGCAAGACGGCCCGGGGATCGAACGCCAAGAGCACGAGGAAGGTTTCCAGCGCATCGGTCAAATCAACTGGTTCTATGGCTTCTGCCCAAGCCGCGCCAGGGGCTTTCCCTGACGACGACGAGATCGACCGTCAGCTGGAGGCCGACCTTGAACGACCCCTCACAGACGAAGAGGACATGGTGCAAGATGCCGACACGGAGCAAAACGACACAGGAACGACCCAGCCGGAGACCCATGCTACAGAGCCAAATGTGAAGGCGAAGAACGAGTCTACGACTGGCGAGAGCTCCAAGCTTTGGTTCGATCCCTACCCAAAAGTTGACGACGCAGATGTCGAGGAGGACTTGCGAAGGCTCGAAGAACAGGTGGCCGCTGAGCAGCAGGCGGCGGTGGAGGAGGAAGACGCCTCGCTTGAGGTGCCTAAGAAGGGCCGCAAGGCGGCAGGCACACGCAAAGTCTCCAAGACCAAAGCCCAGAAGACGAAGGAAGCAAAGGAAGCAAAGGCTGCGGCGGAGGCTGCAGCGGAGGCAGAACTGGCAAAGCAACAAGCACAAAAGCCGTCGAGCCCGGAGCCCGAGGAAGATCTCGAAGAGCACGACGAGAGCGTCGGAACCGTTGTCACTGGTAACAGTCAGACGCGGTCCAGTGATGTGCGGCCCTCAAAGCGCTCGATTGCTTCGCGATTGTCTCTGGCTGCTGACGAGCCTGATGAGCTGTCGTATCATGAGGCGGGAAGTGCTGCCGAAGAGGCTGTGGACGACGTGCTTGCGGATGCGGAAGAGGACATCATTATTCCTGAATTCCCCGACATACCCGCAGCTCGGCAGTCGCTTGCTTCGCGCCACGAAACACCAGAACCTGTGGCAACAACTGCAAAGCGAGCATCCTCGTCGCCGGCACCAGCAGATCAAGAGAATGAGGCACCTGCACCGACCCCTTCTTCGCCTGCACCCCCTTCATCGATTCCCCGGCACCTGCAGCCGCCGTCTACTCCGCGACACCAGGCTTCACCGGCGCAGTCGGCGCGCCAGCCAGCCGTCTCGCCGTCTCCCTCCCCTCAGCCGTCCGACGCCGAAAACCAACCTCCGTCGGCCAGGCCGGCTACTGTCAAGCGCGTCGCCCTCGCGCCTGTGGCCGCCACACCAATGCGTCACGGATCACCCTCGAAGCGAAACGTTGTCGCTGGTCTCCGCAGCACGACGCCCTGGACAGCCGTGGACGTCGACAATATCTTATCCTCACCGCAGAAGGGCGGCAACAGCAACGGCGACAAGGAGAATGGGACCGACCGGTTCCTGGCGCACGGCGCCGAGCTCACGAGCCCAGAGAAGCGCATGACGGTCGAGGAGTGGATCTACCACAACGCAGAGAAGGCCGAGGCCAAGCTCAAGCACGAGTGCGAGGTCATGGTGAGCCGGTTCGAGAGCGAGGGCACACGAGCGATGGGTGTGCTCGAGGGCATGATTGTAGACTGAGCGGACGGACACTGGGGCGTTTGTGGATCGGGTCAAGATTCGGGGAACATTTGTATGTGACAATGTCGGCTTCTGGGTACGGGACACGGGACGGTACAATTCGGCATGGACTGGCTTTGGGGATGCTGCTCTTGGTTGAGCTGGCGTGGTGGCACCCGACTGATGATTATGAAAGCCATGATACAAGGATGGCAATCCATTTTTCCAATGGAGGAGCATTCGATCACCTTTGAAGTCTGCACACCACTTTGGGACAACCGAACTTGTTTATAATCAGTACTGTCGTCGGAGGAAGTCGACTGCGGTTGTAAAGTCGAGTCTACCGGGAATAACAGGGATTACAAGTGGGAATGGTAACTTGTCCCCGTATTGACAAGTTGCCATTTTGGGTAAAGCACAGGAGACTATGAGCCTCGGCCCTGGATTTCTCCATGATCTATCAACGGGAGGGGTCAACTGTCGGGATCTCAGCATTCTGGCTACCGGGGGCACTGCACTGCGTTCCAACCCGGCGAGACTGACGACAAGAGGCGACAGACATCTTCAGACTTGGCAGCACGTAATAAAGACTTTGGTCGAGAGGACATCGTGGTACAGATTTAACGAAAGAACTCATAAAGTAGAGCTCAATTCTCCTCTCGCCAGCTCAGCCTTGACGACTTGATCGGTTCATCAACATGGCATGCTTCGATGAGTACATCTCGGCTGGTGTCCACGACGGCATCCTGCCGGGGGCTATCCTCTACGCGATAGACAAGTCAGGTATGGCGATTAGCGATGGCATTGGCAGTCGATCTGTTGCTATCGAGCGAGATCCAGTCACTTACACAGCGGGCTGAACAGGGAAATTCAACTATTCCAACATTCTGAGCCCCAATTCGCCGTCTCACATAGCTCAATTGAAGCCCTCAAGCACGCTGTGGCTCGCGTCGGCCACAAAGCTCATCACCACGATTGGCATCCTCCAGCTCGTGGAGCGCGGGGTCGTGACCCTCGACGAAGACGTGTCCTCCCACATCCCCATCCTCGCTTCTCAGCAGGTCCTCACGGGCTTCCCATCGCCCGACCGAAAAGCGCAGCCTGTCTTTGCACCCCGCGCGAATCCAATCACCCTCCGCCTCCTCCTCACGCACGCGGCCGGCACAACGTACAACTTTCTCTCGCCTGACATCCAGCGCTGGCAGTCCCTCCACAAGATCCCGCCCCTGTCCGGCGCCAACGTCGACGAGCGCTTCGCCTTCCCGCTCCTCTTCCAGCCGGGCGAGGGCTTCAGCTACGGCAGCGCCGTCGACTGGGCCGGCCGCGTCCTCGAGTCCCTCACAGGCACCTCCCTGCAGGCCTACCTCGACCGCCACGTCTTCGCGCCCCTCAGCCTCACGTCCTTCACCTTCCGCGAGTCCCGCGTCCTCGACGACGGCTCCCTCTGGCCGCTGAGCGTGCGCGACCTCGCCGCCGGCGCGGCCCGCCCCTACACGGGCCCGCACCTCAACGCCGGCCTCGACCCGGGCGCCGCGCTCGGCGGCCAGGGGCTCTACGGGCGGCTCGACGAGTATCTCGAGATTCTGCGCTCGCTGCTCGTCGACGACGGCAGGCTCCTGCGGCCCGCGACGGCGGCGCACATGTTCAGGCCGCAGCTGGGCGGCGCGGCGCGGGCGGCGCTCGACCGAGCCATGGAGGATCCGTCGTGGGCCGTGGGGGATTTCCCCGCGACGGGCGAGTATGACTGGGGGCTTGGGGGCTTGCTCATTGACGGGCATGCGCATGCGCATCGGAGGAAGGGGGCGCTGATGTGGTCTGGCGCGGCCAACATTTTCTGGGTGAGTGCCATCTTTCGTCACGCTGCGAGCTGTGGCGTACGTTTTGTGAGGACCAGCTGACATTTTGGGTGAACTGTTTAGTGGATTGACCGCGAGGCTGGCGTTGCTGGTCTGTTTGGCACGCAGATCATGCCGGCTGCTGAGCCCGTTACGGAGCAGTACATCAAGGCTTTTGAGGATGAGATGTATTCGAGGGTCGAGGCTTTGACGAGCGAGTCCAAGCTGAAAACTCGGCTGTGATGGCGTATTGGGCTATCGTCGAGTTGTCGATCGGTATCGGCGGTGACTCCATGTTGGAGCACGGTGGGCTGGATCCTCCTCGGTGGCATGGCGATGATATCAAGTCGTGGGAGCGCGGCAGTATAGCATGACGTGAAATTAAGAATCGAGAGAAGAGTTGCGAAATCATGTCATGAACCTGGCGTGACTATTGCGACTCATCAAGGAGGATACGAGGATGCTCTTATCTTGATTCGGGCTGCCATCAAGAAGTGGCATGACCGTACGACTGATGACGGCGATCACCTATCGTGCCATGCCGAATCATGTCCGATGACCAAAATCAGATCGCAACGCCTCGAGATTCGTCAACGCAGGTTTACGCGTTCAAGGTTCATTTAGCGTCCGACAATGTGCGCCCGCTGAGCCGCATGTCACCATCGACACCATCCCAGATCGGCACTTGAGCCGTCGGCCTTAAGCAGGTCATCGACGTGACCAATGGACAATTGAGCTGGCGACCGCCATTTCATCCATCAAACATCAACTCGATACGTCAACGGATGCGCTGGCTAGACCCCGGCGCATCGATGTAACCTGACATTGACGCCGCCGTTCCATCTTCGTCGGTAGATTGTACGATTTACCTCTCTGCAAGTGGCCCGAGGCCAAGTCGGACCGGCCGGAACCGATAAATAGACTAGCGACAGCACCTCATTCAGCCGGGATACTGAACAACAAGCTTCTTTCCCATGATTTTTGTTCCTATTTCACCTTCATCACCATGTCTTGTCGAACTATCGACTCGTTACCCAACGAGGTTCGCTACTTCCTCTCATCCAACATGATGATGTGACAACTGATCGATGGTTCCTCAGATCCTCGACGCCCTCCTAGCACCCCTTCCTGCACGCACCCTCGCGACCGCTGCTCTCGTCTCACGCCGCTTTCACGAAGCAGCCTCAGCCTGCCTCCGCGTCCGTCTCCTGCAGACCGCCGCCCTCGGCACCCGCGAGCTCGTTCTCGAATGCCACGCCCCGAGCGAGCGACGCGCCCCCAGCACGTCCTGCCGATCGTCCGGCATGGGGCCGCTCGTCGGCGACGCCAGGCTCGGCGGCTGGTACTCACGTTTCGGCTTCGAGGAGACGCCCGAGAGGGAAGTCCTCCTCGATGAAGACGAGCTGTTCGCGCAGCTCTGCGTCGGCGTCAGTGTCGTGCAGCGGGGCCCCGCACGGGGCCTGTTCATGAGCTACACCGGCGTCGGCGACGGCGTGCTGAGGGTTTGGCGCACGTGGCTGAGCGATGCTGCTGCAGGCAGAGGGGACGTTTTATGGGCTGATCCTTGGAAGAGCGTCGGCTTGCGGTTCGCTGTTGAGCCGATGGTGCTGCAGGAGCCTGTCGGGGCGCTTCCGAGACGGCGGCCGGTTAGCGACGAGCCGGCCGTCAAGTACCGACTGCGACTTGAGGGTGAGTTACGCTATCTTGATACATGGTCATGTCACAGCATGGACTAACCTGCCTAGAATTGCTTGTCCGGACCACGCAGGTGTTGTTGGCGCTGGACAAGGCGACGGCGCAAGACGGCGCACAAACAGGTAAAGCCATCATCATCACCTCTTACTAGGGACCCGTATCCTCTCCGACGACGTCGCCAGGCGACCGGGGCAAGACCGGCCCACTAGCTAGCCGGGGCTGATTCGGATTTCTTTCGTTACTTTTGCGTTCTAACCCTTTGGCAGCAGGTCTTCATCTGAAGGCCGCAGGTGGATGCAGTGTGCCTGTTCAGATGGTCTGCCTTCCATTTCAGGAGCAGAAGCCATTACAGCGACCTCCAATGGCGGCCGTGTAACGACATCTTTCATGAAGCGTGCGCGTTCTATCTTTCAATGTAATTCGGGTTATGGGGATTGGAATACAGGAAGTTGAGATCGCCGGAAAGACGACAGGAAGAAATATCATAGAGACAGGATACAAAGACATCTCCTTGAGCTTTTTACACTTTACTATCACATTTGAGATAGATAGAACTATTTGACTTTACACAGGCCGTTGCAAGTAGGGGTGTCTCTTCATCAAAAGGTCTACGCTGGTTTGCATGCACATGCAGGTCATTGATGAGGATACCCGTCCATTACGCCAGAAGACGATGAGGAGAGCTTTAGGCAACAACTACCGGTGGCACAGAACAAAATGATCGCAGTTACTGGTCATCGCTCTAATGTACATTATTGTTCACAAGAGATGAATGCTCGTAGGCTCCCACCGTGTACCGCTCCGGAGTATTGGTGAGAATCTTCGCTGAGTCTTCCAGCCGGCCGGCTGGCCACGAGTCCTTACGACCTGCAGGTGGCCCGTTCAGAGACGCACAAGTGAGGCACGGCAGGGCTGACAGACATGCCCGTGTGACTGTAATCGTGAGTAGCACATGCGCCATTTTCTCGTGTCTCTAAGATCAGGCTGGCCTGCAACCCCCCTCGGCAAACCATTGAAGGACGCACCAACCTGCCACTCATTCCTGTCTGTTCGATCACAGCGAGCCGGCAGCTGCCTGGCTCCAGACATCATGAGCCTCGAACATATGATCAAGATACTGGTGCTCCATCCTCACCATGGAAAGCCCGAAAGTCCCATTGAATGCGTTGCAACGTCGGTTTTGCTCTCCGAGAGCCCAGTGTACGAGGCGCTGTCTTATGTCTGGGGCACTCAGAAGACGCTGACGAATGTCTTGGTTTCTGGCGCTCCCGTCGCCGTGACCCAGAATCTCGAAACAGCTCTTCGCAAGCTCCGCCTGCCCGACCTCGATCGGTGCCTCTGGATCGATCAGCTCTGCATTGACCAACATGACCCAAAAGAGAAGGCTATCCAGGTGCGACTCATGAGGACCATATACTCAAAGTGCACTCGATGCATAGTCTGGCTTGGCGAAATACCACACCCACTCAGCCATGAGGACGCCGACGCCGCCATAGATATCATCCGCTACATGGCTGCCGTCTACGAAGCCGGTACCGAAGAAGGCGTGCACTACCCTCCCACACTGCTGGCCAAACCACGCTTCAACGAAGCTGTTCAGTTTTTGAGATTCTTTACGCGGCAGGATAATGCCTGGTGGACAAGAGTATGGACGCTTCAAGAAGTGGCACTGCCCCCTTCCGTTGATCTCCTTTGGGGCTCCATCTGTGTGTCCTGGGACGTTATCCTCCAGGCCAAGGACCTTGCTGTAACGAAAGGCCTGCCCGCGGCGCTTCCGCCTGTCGACGACATGCTGCCGCTCCACTACTTTGTCACGAATGTGGCGTGGGTCGACGGCGCGCGTCAGAGGTTGGATGGTCCGTTCGACACGGTTCACAAGTGGCGGTGGAGGGGCGCGACAGACAAGCGAGATAAGATTTACGGGCTGTTGGGCCTGATCAATCCCGACATACTGCCCATTACGGAAGCGTGCAACTATGAGGTGCCGGCTTCCGAGGTCTTTGCCGTTGCGACCCTTGAACTCATTGTAGCTGAGCAGAGCCTTCGCCCCATGGTTGCGTGTTCGCGCGTCGAGGCGGAAAATGCGACGCCCGACATTCCTCGCTGGGCGTTGGACTTGGGGAATTTGCCCATGTACAACACCAACTGGGGTCCCGTTCACTGCTTCCCTGTCTACAACGCTTGCGGCGGAGCGAAGGTCAGCATCGACGAGATGAAGTCACTGGCAGCCCGCCGGTCCAGGATCCTGGAAATCGGTGGATGGTATGTTGATACCATTGACCTTGTCGGTGACAAGATTCTCATCGATGAGCATAAGCACGGCCACGAGAACCCTGTCATACGAGAAAAGGTCCGCCAATGGAAGACCGTCGCCGAGTCGAGTTCAGCTTTTCAAGAAAGCTACTTCAAGGCGGCAGAGGGAAAGCCAAGCAAGCTTGACGAGACTTTTGCCCGTGTACTACTTGGCGACTGGGTCCGGGACCACGATCAGACTGCCCTGAGAGAAGCAACATTACCGGACGTGGAGGATGCCCTGCGATTCTGTAATACCGGTGAACTAAGCATGGATATGCGCAACACGATCCTGCGCCTGGCAGCGAATCAAGTCTTCTTCGTCACGATGAAAGGCTGCATGGGAATGGGTCCTCTGGATTCCCAACCTGGCGATGAGGTGTGGGTGCTCGAGGGGGGAAATTACCCCTTTATCCTGAAGCCAAAGCTAGAACCGACGGACAAGGACTTTGTCGGCAGTGGCTATGTTCAGGGCGTAATGAAAGGCGAGCTTTTCGCCCATGATGATCAGAGCGAGCTTAAGCAGCGGTTGTGTATTTATTGATTGCCCTGCGGCGTGCGTATCAGTCTGGGCAGGGAAACCCCCTTTTTAGTGCACGGCCGGTTTCTCGCCCCCTTATCTCACACATCAAGTCGCCAGACCTTTGAGGTCCTCCAACTGAACTTTTAAGGCTTGTCAACAGATGATTCTCAATTTGCGTGTCGGGTATGAGACAGCTTCCACCAAAGCCGTCGTTTGATTGAGAGGCGCTGCTCGCGATATATACCTGTCGACCAGTATCGATGTTTGGGGTACCGGGTGACCTATGGCACCGACGGCGCAACTTCCCATGAGATACTTGAGAGACTGCTTCAAAGCCTGTTCAATTGCAATGAGCGAGTCTTGAAAAGAGACATCGGCTTTCTTCAGAAGAGGAAGTTCCCTTTTAAACACATACCCAACTCGAAAATCATAATGAAAGTGGTGTCAAGAGTATGTATTAATTGAAATTACTTATAGAGCTCATCTCGATGATACTATATCGCAGGAAGCAAGCGTATGTGCGGCTTTTGTCCATCATGTGTACACGCGAAATCGCTTTTTACAGCTCAAGGATGCCCACACCGGCAACAGTGTTCTCATCAGCAGCCTGGACAGTGTTACCGTCAGCAGTGCTGAGGATGACGTAGACCTGGCCAGCGGGACCGGCCTTGCCGTCCTTGCCCTGGGGGATGTAGTGAAGGACGTACTGGAGAAAACGTACGTCAGCAATGGTGTCAAGTGATAGGCATGGCATAAGGAGGACTCACGTCGTCGCCGTTGCGAGAAAGGCAGCCGTAGTAGGTGTCGAGGCCAGAGTAGAAGACGGCAGAGACCTTCTGTCCGTACTTGACGAGACCCTCCTTCTCAGCGGCGGCGGCAGCGCCGGGGAAGACGAGGCCGTGGCCAGCCTTGACGACAGACAGAGAGGGGAAGGCGCGGAAGGGGAGCTCAGGCGTGCCGGGAGCGAAACTGGCGACAAACTGGGCAGCGAGAGAGAAAACCTGGTTGAAGTTGAGGGGGGTGTCGAACGGGGTGGGGAAGGGCTTCTGGCCGATGGCGTTGCGGATGTAGGCCGCGTGGCGAGCCTCGACGGTCAGAATGGCGCCGGCAGCGGTCACGTAAGCCTTGTCGGCGATGACAGCGGCAGCGCCGAGGTAGGCCGAAACACCGACACCCTCGAGAATGGCAGAGAGGCCGAGGAAGGACTTGGCATCTGTGGAAGGGAAAGCAAAGGTGGGCTCGGGGATGGCCTTGTCACCGAGGGCGCCGGCGAGGAAGTCAACGTGTGTCTTCTCATCAGAGTAGATGGTCTGAAGATTCTCGTAGAGGTTGGCATCCAGACCGGCACCAGTAAGCTCCTCCTTGGTGTAGTTGGCCAGGCCCTGCTCGTAGAACTTGCGCTCAAGGAACTCGAGCGTAAGGGCGTAGTTGAGGATATCAATGTCACCTCCGGGGAGAGGGTCGTAGTTATCCTTCTTGACCAGAGGGACGCCGAGAACAGAGCCAGCCGTGGAGGCGGCGAGGAGGAAGGTAGAAGTACGCATGTTGACTGATATTCGAGTGGGGGTGAAAAGAGTGTAGACTGGGTTGTATTAGGGGGTATAGTAAGTATGAGCAAAGTGGTGGATGTTGAAGCTATCCTGAGTATCTCTGTAGGTCCAAGCAACGCTCTTATATACCCTCACGGGGTCAGACAGACAAGCTGCTGGAGATTCTGCCGTAAACCACCGTAACCTCACTTCAAGCAAGTCTGATGTGATCATAGACAAGTCTCAGGCTCGGATGCCATCTTGACTGGAAGATGGGGTCCGGATGGCATTTCTCCCTTGCGCTATCGATGATCGACTTATCAAGACAAGGGCAATGAAGGATACGCCAAGACCACTCCGGCTGGAGGATAGGGCGGAGGCCTGCGCTACACCTGGCAAGTAACGTGCCCCTCGACTCTCGCGATGTAGCTAGGGACGCCGGGGAGATGAATGTCTCGTCATTGTTGCTGCCAGTAAGCAATTAGGCTCAGGAAAGGTGGGATGGTTGATGGGAGGACGGGCCACAATGCAGGGATACTCTCGTCGGGCAGACGCTGGACAGTCAACCTTTTCGGGAAAAGCAAGAATGCCAAAGATCTACCCTTAACGCCCCGATCGCCCCCAGTGTAACCGACAGCAGCTCAAATGAGGGTGTCTTGAACCCCACGTGAGCTGCAAGGTGAGAGGAGACATGGACTGTTAGGTGTGGCCGATACTGCTATGCCGGGGATCCGGGAGGCTAAGCCTGCCGGATGTGGAGGATACCGAGAACTCTCGGTAAAAGCAGTATCCGGGGTCACTAGCGGCTAGTCGCCATATGTCTTGTTTGGGCAATATGGGCACGAATCACTATGTTAGGATGTAGCCTAACGGTAACGTCATCCATGATTATCATTCCGCGCGGTGCGAAGGACCTCGAAGCCAAACTCGTTTTCGCTCACAGGTGCCACGCATGTTTTCACATCAAGTTGGCTTCCAGCCTTGCATATCATGCTATTCAGAGGCGACAATGCAGCGCCGGACAAGACACCTTAGGTATAGTGCTTGATCTTCGGCATGTGAGCAGCTTGCGGCGTTTATCATATCTCCGACGTCTTGACCTCAAGAGTGGGCGGTTCTGGTCGATGACGTTGATCTTACAACCACGGGCCAATGAGTTGGCGCATGATGAACGCATTGGAAGGGTTTTGATGGGCGTTTTGAGGTTCAATAGAAGAACACTCATCAATCTTTGCTTTCATACAAATCCATCGAGCATCATATCATCGAATCAACCCTTCTCGTAGACAGTTGACATGTCGCCCCGAGGTTTTGCAATCATCATCGGCGCTGGCCCCACATCCGGAGCGGGCATCGCCCGAGTCTTGGCCAGCCCCGACCATGGCAACCTCGCCGTCGCGCTCCTCGCCCGGAACCCGGACAACCTATCTTCACTGTGCTCAGATCTGAGAAAGACCTCCAAAGGTGTCTTCCAGCCGTTCCCGACCGACACCGGCGCCGACAATCTCCGTCGCACCTTCAAGGAGATTGCCGAGCATGACGATTTCAAAGATCTGAAGCTCAAGCTCGCCATCTACCACGTCAAGCACAGCAGCAAGAAGCCGTTCCTCGAGGAAACGGCAGAGGCATTCACCGACAGCATGCAGACGTACACGACGGGCGCCTTCGTCTTCGCCCAAGAGGCGCTGAAACTGTTCTATGCGCAGAACGGAGGCCAGACGCTGCTGTCCGAAACGAGCGGGGAGAAGAAGGGCACCATCATCTTCACCGGCACGCTGGGCGCCATGAGAGCGAATGTTGGATTCGCCGCCTACGGTGCCACGCGCGCCGCGGCGCGCATGGTGTCGCAGGCTGTGGCCAAGGAGCATAGCAAGTTTGGCGTGCAGTGCGTGCATGCTATTGCGAACGGCGGCATCATTGACGCGGACAATGAGGATACTCGTACGGGTAAGAAGATGGCGGCGGAGGAGGTTGGGAAGACGTATCTCTGGCTCTCTCAACAGCCCAGCTCGCTTTGGGTGCATGAGCTTGACCTGCGTCCCGCACAAGAGGCTTTCTAAATGCTGCACCGGTCCTTGATTCTCAATAGAATACAATGCCTTGGGAAGGCCTCTTCACCAGAAGTCCTCTGTCGAACAGTGAGTATTTCGTATGAGAATACTCGCACTTCGTATAGTGACAGCTCGTCCTTACGAGTCGGTATATTTTTATCGCCTTGAACTGCCACCTCCAAGGCGCAGCCGAATAGCCGATAGAATTGATGGCGCTAAGAAACATAGCTTTCAACCAAGTGACAAGTGGTCTGATTGTGATCTGTTCGAATAATTGCGCCGTGTTTATCTATATCCCAAGTCTAGTTCTGATCGAGGTTACAAGCTGTCCTTCAGCTCCTTCTTGATCCTCGTAATGGTGCCCGACCCGCCATACGTGAGACCCGTATACACCATGGCAACGCTCGCGCCGGCATTCAGCATCTCAAGCGCCTGCTTCCCGTTGGTCACGCCGCCCGTGGCAAAGATGACCTTCTGCTGGCTGCCAGCGCCCTTGGCGCCCAGAACGCCCGTCACGGCGGCCGCCTCGGCCTCGGCGCTGAGGGTGCGCGCATCGAGCAGCTGGCGGTAGCGCTTGACGAGGCTCAGGGTGCGGCCGTACATGGCGGGGCCCGAATAACCGCCGTCCTCGAGCAGGTTCCTCTGCTCGCGCGCCGAGAGGACGACGCCCTCGGGGACGATGCCGGTGCGCCTCTTGGTCGTGTTGCCAACAATGACGCCATCGACGCCACTCTCGCAGACGGCCTGGACGATGCCCTCCATCTGCGTGTCCTCCTCCTCGTCGGGCGACACCTTGACCATGACCTTGGGCTTGACCCTCCTGTCGGTGCGCGATGCCTCATCGACGACGGCGCTGAGGACACGCGTCAGGGGCTCGACGGCCTGAAGATCGCGGAGACCGGGGGTGTTGGGGCTGCTGACGTTGACGACGATGATGTCGGCGTAGGGCGCCAGCGCCCGGACGCAGAAGACGTAGTCGGCGGCCACGGCGTTGACGTCACGCTCATCGGTGGCCTTGTTCTTGGCGATCTGAACGGCGAGGAGGCGGCCCTCCTCCAGACTACCGGGAGGCAAGCCGGTGACACCATCGAGGAGGTCGCGCTCAGTGACGCCAAGGTCGCGGGCGCGGGTTCGAAGGCGCTCACGCAGGCGGCGAGCCATGGCGTCGGCGCCGTGGGAGTTGAGACCGTACCGGTTGATCATGCCGTCGAGGATGGGCACGCGAAAGACGCGGGGCTTCGGGTTGCCGTCTTGCGGGAAAGGAGTGCAGCCGCCAACCTCGACAAGGCCGGGTCCGAGGGCGAAGAGGGCGTCGGGGATTTCGGCGTGCTTGTCGAGACCGGCGCTAATGCCGATAGGGTTGGCCAGCTGGGTGCCGAAGACCTCAACAGACAGAGCAGGATCTGTAGCGAGAGCAGTGTCACGCTCGCGGGGGTGAAGGCCGAGGGCATATAGCGTCTGGAGGGCGGAGGTACCGGCATGGTGGGCATCTTCGGCATCGGGGAAGAGCAGGCGCATCATGGGAGGAACAAGCCATCGGTGGAGCGAGGCGCGGGTGTCGGTAGCGTAGAGATAGGAGATGTAGAGCGAGCCGGCGAGGGCGCCGCTGTAGATGAAGATCTTGGCATTTGAGCCCGCGTTGCTGCCGGAGGAGGTAGAGGCATTGCGTCGGGCAAAGTGATTAGGGAGTCGCGGTCGAATGGCTGGCGTCGTGGCGGAACGAAGGGCTGGTCGCGCGCGACTTGATCGCAGACAGACAGAAGCCATCTTGGGCGAGCAATGCCGATTGTGTCCGGCACTCAATGGCTCAAGATAATGGATTATTTGCGGGTTGGCGGGGAAGTTGGCGGAGCAGACATCAATCAAATGGAAAGTGAAGCTTGTGATGATCGGAAGCGCCTTACGTCAGCCTTCCGTCTTTGTCGGAAAAGAGCACCGCATTTCCAGGGTACGGCGGTCTAGTGTTCAAGAATGGATCGTATGATGAATGCACCTTTCTATCTTCTATCGACTGTCTTCTCTCCATTCTATCCAAACCCAAACGCCGAACATGCAAAAACAGTCCCCAGGCTAGAGGATCGAGCCTCCAAGATATCGTCACGCCTCCATCCTCGCCAGTTCGCGGCTTTCTGGGACTACTGGCACCACCTCCCGGCCAGCCGCGAGCGCAGCTGCTTCCTCGGCCACCTCTGCCTCCCGGTTCAAGAAGCTCAGATAAGTCTGCCAGCCAACGGCAATGACGCCAGAGAAGACGCTGCGGTACTCCATCGGAATGAATGTGAAGCTGAAGGCCGTCACCGCAGGCCACAGCTTGCACGAGTTGACGATGCTCGTCGGTACCGTCCGTCGGATCCGCTCCACGACCTGCTCGAGGCTGTCGCCCGCGAGGAACGCCTGCATTCCGAAAAAGTACGAGTTGAACAGCGGCGTGAAGCACGTCTGGTTGACGATGATCTTGACGGCCAGGGACCCGATGCGCGACGCATAGTTGAAGTTGACCGAGAGGAAGATGAACCTGCGAGATCCCATCTGTCAGCATCGTGCCCAAGCGCCAGAACCCGTCGCCCGACCGTCCGACTGCTTGCCAGCACCTACCATTTGTAGCTCGGAATCGCCGACAGTCCTCCGATAATCAGCGACCTCCCCGTCCTCTCCGGCGCGTACTCCTTGCCGCTCATCCGCTGGGCCGACATGTCGGCGCAAAAGTAGATGACGAGCGCCGTCACAAACTGCGTCCAGTACGGCCTGTTCCTCTGCGCCCGCGCATAGCCCTCCGCCGCCGTGGTCAACGGACCCAGCCGCTGCCACAGTGGAATCGTCGGCACCGTGTTAGGCACGGGGATCGGGTCCTGCTGCTTGGGCGTCTGGCGGGGCTGTTCGGGGTTGTGCTTCGTGGACTGCAGCCTTCGCTGGCCGGCTCGCGTGCGCAGCCATGGCGCTGGCCGGCGCAGGACGCCTCGTAGCAGTGTCGTCGTCGTCATGCCGTCGAGTTTTCGCTTCGTGGTTGTTTTCTTTCACGCCGCTGTCATGGTCGCTGGGATTGCGTGCGTGACTCCCAAATTGTGTCTTAAGCCCGGCATTTCCCTCGGCCGATAGTGCCCGGCCTTCGCAGGGCGCCTTTTTCGCCCTCCAGGGCGCGGCACTTCCGACGCGGCTCCTCAACTGTAGGCCGAGGCTTCGCAGCCGGCGCCAGCTGGGACCGTACTTTTTTGAGCACCCTTCTGACATCCACTTGGAAGTTCCGTCTTGATAGGTCTGGTGTTCCTGGATGGATGGCAGGATGGCAACCTATTGGCAGCCTATCAGGCTGGTATGAAGATCTTGATCCTGTGCTGAGGCCAAAATCCACAGCGCCATTCGTATCCACGTTCTTCGTAGACCATTTGCGGGACTGCTGATTGTCTATCGTTCATCCACCAACACAACGTTTCTCTACGTACGACCTGCTGAAGGCGAAGGGGGTAACAGGTGATTCTCTTCTCGCGCCAGGGCGACCATGAAAACATGGCTGTAAAAGATCTCCCTCTCATGTTGGCAATCAATGGTCGAGCAGGCTTCATTCTTGAACCTTGACCCTGAGACGAAAGACGCTGAGAAACAAAACCGTCTTGACACAGGCCTGAAAAGATGCCCTCTGCGTGCCGCTTCCAATCGTGCGCAGCCAGGCGCCGGGAACACTTTACATACCCCCGGTACTTCATTCACTTGCACGAGTTGACTCCCGAAACACGATGCTATAGGCAACGTTTTGCACAATGGTGAATGCCACCAGCGCAGGGTTCGCCACTGATCATGCTACATCATAGTGCACATGGCGGCGGTCACGTCATCATGCACAATAACGCCGGTTTCCTGTTGGTATCAACTATGGGGGTTGCTTGTACACCGAAAAAAGTCAAACATCAACATTTGAAAGAACAGCCCATGTGATAATTCGCTACGTAGCGCTCTGCATGCGGCTCGGCCGTGGGGTATCGTGTCGTACAACAGGTACAGAGCGAGGAAAGAAAACAGACGCTTCGCATAATATGAGAAACGAGAACCACGAGTCGACATTTGTGACGGAAGCTCGATGTGAGAACGAACATGGCCAAAGTGGAGTCAGATTGTTCAGTGCCAGCCAGGATCGAGATTGTGTCGTTTGAGGCGTCTCCGGAATAGTGGCGGAAGACTTTTTTTCGTTTTTGGCTGATGTGGAAAGGAAATGAGGTTAAAGATCGAATATGGTCGGTAATGGACAATAATGAAAGTGCCGTGTGGGCGTCGGTGGCCGTGTAGGACCTGATAGGTAAAGAAAATAGGTAATGATCGTGGGGCTCGGTTCCTGGCTGGCCTCTGAACATCGTCATCCTAAACTCTTCCACTCATGTTAGTTCATCACAAGGATAGAGGTACGCTTGACCTCCTGTCGCCAGTCGTAGGGTTCCGTCCCTTGCTGTCAATGCTGGCCCGGGGCGTAATATCCAGCAACTTGGCGCTTCCAGCACTCATGTGGCGCACATGCCCCTTTTGGCCGTAGCTGATCCTTGTCGCGCTCTCCACCATGGGCGTTTCATTGAGGTCACTGGATGAGCTGCTTTCCTCATCAAACGTGTTGAGTAGCCCCTCGCTGCTCTTGATTCGGGCGGCCTGCCGCCGGTGCATCACCGTCTGATGGGCACTAACGGAGCCCCATTTCATGTCGGCATCAGCCATGTGCTCATCCTCATCACTGCTAGGGCGCCCATCGCCCGTTGACCGGCGGCCATGGCCGGTCTGCGCCATGTTTGTATCGTGGGACGGAGTCGCAAGATTAGACAAGTATTCGTCGTCAGCAATCTGCTCATCAATCTCCTCTTCAGTATTATTACTGGAGGAGGACTGCTGGGACTGCCGTTGCTGCGCGTAAGGATAACGGGGATTGCTGTCGCGCATGCCTAGGCCGGACGACGACCGCTTACCAACGCGTCCAGAGAGCCACGATGCCTCCGAGTCAATGGATGCCAGGGAGACTGACTGCGGTTGCGGTGAGTGCTGGTTTAGGCGATGGACAGATGTCGGCGTCTGCCTCATAGTCTCGTCGATTGTTCTTCGCTCCGAGCTCGGTGTGTCATACCGCGCTGGCGTGTTAGAGGCCTCCATATTGCCTTGTTCTCGAGAGTGCCTCTCTGATAATGCAGGCATGGGTGGCTCAGTCTCGGGCGATGCAACGCGAGAGTCTGGTGGCGACATTGGAAGTTCAGGTAGGTCCTCCCGGAACCGTGACCGGGTCCGCTTAGGAACGCCAGAGCTCATCTTGGTTGGGGTGTAGCCTACGACAGGAGGGGGTGTCGACGCCAGTGATGTGCGAGATGTCGCCGGTGCTTGTTGTGCCGAGTGCGTCGGGGCGAGACCTTGTGCTTGAATAGCAGCCTGCATCTCCTCTCGTGAGGTGTTTGAGAAGGATGAGGGCCCAGAGCTCCGGCGATTGCCACGTGATCCCCATTTGAACAGAGAAGAGAAGTTTAACTTGCCGCGGTTGCTGGATTCCGAATCTTTACGTGGCGGGTCATACTCCTCTGTTTTGGTTGCTGTCGGCGACAGCCTGTGTCTCTCGTCGGACGCCAGGGATGTTCGTGATCTGGACTTCTTCTTCTGAATCGAAGTAGCCCGCTTGGTGGTTTCCGGCGGTGGTGTTGCCGGCGCCACGACGTCTGTTTCTGACTCAAGCGCAGTCTCAAGCGGTATACTCGTGGTCCTGTGGAAGTGGCTGAGAGGTTCGATCTGAGTGTCGAGGGCTTCCTCAGCGGTAGTTTCGCGCTCTGGTGATGCATGCCCCTGTTCTGGCGATGGCGTTTGTCGCTTGAATGAAGCATCTGACGACCGTCGCCGCGACGAAGTCACCACGGCTGACGTTGTATCAATACCGAGGCCGACTACATCGCGACCCATGACACCTCGTTCTAGATTTTGCGGCGGTGGGGTTCCGCTCTTGGAGGCTTCGGCTTCTGCTTCGCGCTGCTTTTCTGCTCGTCTTGCGAGCCTCCTCTCCGTGTGCTCTTGTTCACGCTGACGTTTTCTCTCCCTCCTCCTGTTGTCGCGCTCCATAAGTTCGCGTAGATCGGAGGCGCCCAGATCATCTGCAAGACTATCGATCCGCTTGTGAGATTTTAACGTCGCTTCGGGCAGATTCGCTCTTTCAGCCAGCTTGTTCCTCTGCGACGTAGACCTGGTGGGATCCGTGCTGTTGCCGGGAGCCCATCGGGGATGCGTCGCATACCGTAGAGTCGGGCGAGGCGCCAACGCCTCGAGAGCGGAGATCCTGTACGAGGCATGCTCTGAGTCGGATGACATGCTCGAGTGAATTGATTCGGGGATTGGCAGCGAAAGTTCCGACACGGCGCCTGAGCCCCTGCCGCCCGTCCTTACCCTCTTACTGTCCTTCTTCATCGGCCTGCCGGCTGTCCATGCCTCGGCAGACGGCCTGACTGGGACGAAGTTGCTCATGGCCTTGAGTTCGGCTTCACGATCGTGGTCGTCCCTCCTCCTCTTGCTACTCTTTCTCCTCGACATCTTGTCGCCGTTGCGCGTTCCGTACAGCGTCGGAACACGCTGCCATTGAGAATCTTCCTCCCTCACCTCGTCTATTTGGTCGCCGGGCGAAAACCTCTTCCCGCGTACTGCGGTGGGCTGGGCAGACGTACCCTTGCCGTCGACCCTGATGGAGTCATGGCGGCCAGGCGAGAAACTGTAGGTCCGCGGACGGCGGTGTAGCTTCGCGGGCTCTGTCTCCGTGCGTTGTTTCTTCTGTGATGGCGTTCGCTTGGTGGGCACTGGTACGGCAGCGTCTGCCGTTTGACTTCGTGGTGGGCCTTCAACGTCGGAAAGGGCGGCGCCGCTTCTCGTGCGTTTGCGCCCGCTTTTCCTCCTAAATGGCCACAAAGCCATCTTCCATCTGAGTGCGGTCGCTGGGTCGGCGGAAACTACTTCTGTGGGCGTGATTGATCGGTGCGCTGGCTGTTGAACTGGCGCATAGTGATGGGTAACGTGCTTGATACCGGGTAGTTTTGGCGGTGCTGGCAGTCGTGCCGAAGCCGAAGAAGCTGGAAACCCGCCTCGGAGGTTCTGTCGGTCAGGTGGTAATTGAGGATGTTTCGACAGGCCCGCTGACTCTGGACTGGAAACTGCAAACGAGATGATGGACTGGTTCGAAACGAGAGTTGGCTGCTAGAAAGGAGGGAAAGATGTGGCAGGGCAATCCGGCTGTTGAGCGGGTGACGAAAGGCGACTCGTCAGTGGTGTCGTAGGTCTCTCTCTCGTCAGTCTGGTCAGGGCAGTCTGCAGGACCGGGGCAGATCCTGTAAAGTGGCGAGGGGTGGCCAAGGGTAATAATAGAATGATGAAGGAACAAGAACCCCCAAAGGTCAATCAGGCCGGGGAACGAGCCCACTAGTCAGGCGGCCCTGGAGGACACTGGCATCGTGGCGTTCGACGCTGGGCGCTGGGCGCTGGGCACCCGTTAGGGGGGTGGATGGGGCCAGCCAGGGCGAGGGGCCCAGGGCAAGGGGGTGTGGCAGCAACAGGCAAAAGCCGTCAGAGGTGTGCCAAGTGAGAACAGAGAGATGTGGGCATGGCTGGATGGCAAGGATGGGTGGGTGTGGGTGGTGCAGACGTGGGACATGGGTGTGGAACTGGGAACTGGGAATGGATCCCCAGGAGGGTCTGGCCCAATACCGGCGCTGCCAGCGGAGGGGTGGGAATGCCATTGAATTGATCGTCGCGAATTTTCCTGGCGCGTTCATGGCGTGGAGCCTGAACATGAGCATCCAGAAAAGCTCAACCATGGCTGGCCTGGCTGGCCGACCCGGCCGACCGTCAGTTGGGGCGAGCCACCTCCGCCGCCGTGTCGTTGGTGTCCCGCGCTGTCGTTCTCTCAATGTACTTACTCACTGATCTAGACGCCATATCTTGACGAGGTTTGGTCCTCCAGCGCTCGTCACCGCCGTCTCCTGATGTAGCTATCCGAGGTCTCCTGATGTCCTGAAGTCCGGTGCTTCCTCTAGCCAGAGGTGATTCACCATCGCGTCGCTAGCAGCAGTCATTGTAGTTTGTAGTGCCTGACATGACAGGATGCCTGACATGACAGGAACAGACCTCCACTGTCAGTACCGGGGGTTGTTTGCTTCGATCGGGGAGCGCCGAGGCAGCGCCCAGACGATGGTGACCTCAGGGTTGGCTGGAGGAATGTGGGCAACAGGGTCTCAAAGCAAGGTACCCGATGTGCTGCTGCAGAGAACCGGGCCTCGCCTCAACTCAAAATCGCATCGTTGGTGTGATGGGCAAGCTGGCAAGCTGGCAAGCTGGGTGGGTGACTGGTCAGTCCCCATGCGACTGGCTGCTACTACATGTACCAGCCAGCCCAGCGGAAGAAGCAAGGTGAGACAGCTTCTGGGGAGGATGACGAGAGGAGCACAACAGTTCTGTGCTAGGTAGGTACGAAGGTACAGTACAGGAAGGCCATGGAGGAGGGCTTGGAGGGCAAGGGGCAGTGGGCATGTGGCAGTACCACAGAAGGAAGGGCAGCGATTCACTGTGCAATCGCCACGCTGGCTGGGAAGGAAGTGCCTGTCAGGTGTGCTTGCTTGCTTGCTCCGTCACACACTCACAATCATGACGCTCCCCCCGTTCTTGCCGTGGTTTCTTCTGTGCTTTCATCATTGCTTGCCCTATTCTTCCCGCTTCCCGTCTGCTGGTCCATCGTTCTTGCCCCCTCAGGTAGTTCCCGTTCTCCCCCCCCCTCTGCGACCCTTCTGTGGGCTGCTACTTCCTGCTGCCTGTCGTTGCGTCCGTACCCAACATCCCTCGTGACCGGCACTTCGGGCCCTGCGGAGCAAGTACGAACCACTTCACCGCTGGGGAGAGCCTCCATCATCGTCAACAAGCGTCGTAACCGTCCAGGCGAGAGATCGATCTGTAAGCACGGCAGAGGCGGAGGCTTGGCACAGGTGTTGCATTGGCTCTCCTTCGGCATGCCCCTCTCGATCATTCATGCATTGCTCGTTCGCCGTCCCGCGCCCTCCCCCCCCCCCCCCATCCGAGGGAACTCCAGCGAACTCCTTTCATCATCATTCCCCAGCCTCGACCGGCGCCACAATGACCTACCGAGCTGCAAGATTGCAAGATGACCGACCATCTTGACCATCTTGACTTGTTGACCAACTGGTCCAGCTCGCCGCTAGCAAGAGCTATTGTGCGTCCTGAGGCTGATCTCCCATCGCAAGCGCAAGCCAAAGGGGACTGTCTCGTGGGCCGGCCCCAGCCGTGGCGCTGTCACTCGACCCTTTCTTTGACCCTTCTACTGAGGAGTACGTTAGTGGTAGTGCTCAATGCTAACCTGCCTACAGTCCCTCTAGTCAGGGTGCATCGTTGTCTGCCCGACCGCCTGCTGCTAAGAACCCCGCCGCCACCAGCACCGCACCTTTGCCACAGAGCAATGGTCTCGGACAGCAGCACGCTAGACACCGAGACGAGTCTCCGACCTTCTTGAAGCTCACCTGGTCTCTTTTTCCTCCCCAGATGTCGACGCCGTCCCATCGCTAGCGGTGGCACCGGCACGCAGCGTGTGGTGGAGCGAGGGCTTCACGCACCTTCTAGTGAGCGTGCGGTTCCAAGCCACACACGCAGGCATGCTGGGACAGCGGATCCCCCGAGCCTCTCCGGTAGGGCCCAGCGAGACGTGGTTGGCCAGAACACAAATGAATGGTACGGCATTGGAACTGGAGCACTCTCTCCAGCGGGCCAGTGGGCGGGCGGGGAGGTGAAAGCGCGGCGCAGGGTCTTCGGGTCGAAACGAGACTTGAATCGAAACGCGGGAGAAAGCAAAGCCAAAGCGAGGCGGAGCGGGGGGGGGGGGCAGGCAACAGAAACGAGTGGGTGGCCGCAATCTGTGTTTCCATGAGATTGACCTCCAGCAGTAGCGTCACTTTGGCTCGTGGCCTCTCTCGACTCGAGACGAACACACGGTTGTCTGGCTAGTTGAGGCCCCAGACCAAACTGCGTCCATGGTGCAGCACAACAGTGGTTCTTCAGAGGGGGTGAGAGCCCAGAACCGAGCCAACCCTCAGAGCATGGCTCTTCCCATTTGGTCTGGGCACATGCAGAGAGCTACCATGTACCCCTCTCTACCGACGGATCGCGCCCACCAGTTGGTGGTAGTGACCTGAGGATTTTGCTTCTCGGCGGGCGGGCATGCAGGCGACGTGCCGTTCCATTCGAGCAGTGATCGCCGCGAGATCCAGACGTAATGGAGCGGAGCAGGGGGGTCTTCGGAGCAGGGGGGCCGGGTACATGAGGATGCCTGCCGAGCCTCGTGTTGATTGAGCTACTTTTTTTGTGTGCAGGTCCGTGTAGCTTTGTCCGTCATCTCCTGTTGGCGGTAACATGCAGCTTCCTGCCCTGCTGGGACCCATGCGAGTCGGTAAACGCTTCGTATCCGCTGGTCTTCGCCTGGGTGACGACTTCTGCTGGGCAGCACAGGACGGTGGCCCAGCCAGTCGCTGAATTTGGCCAGTTGCTTATTTCAGAAATCTACGAGCCTAGATAGGTTCTTGTGTGCCCGCCGATCAGAATATTGTTTCTCGCAGCTAAGAGACTCTAAAGGACACTATTTCCCTGGCCCCGAGTAGCCGGACCAAGCGAGAGAGCACTACATGGTACACATTGACGATCGGGGGGCCCTAGGTGCAGAGTAGGATTCCAGGCTCGCATCGCCCCCCCCTCGCATTATGTCATGAATGGCACAGTAGGGCTGGGGTCTGAGAGTCAATCCCGCCGCGGAACAAGGGCTTTGTGTCCCAGGGTCGATCATTAAGAAACGCCCGACGAGTTTCTACTCAAAAAGGAGCAAAGCCACCCCCCATCACCAACGTCATGGGGCTATACCTTACCGCCCGGCAGTTTGGTCGGTGCGCATGAAAATCCCGCAGAAAAGATGGTGTTTCTAAAAGATTCGCAAGCGCTAGGGGAAAGGATCCACGGCGGGCTGCTTGACGTCCAAAAACCTCCATCGAACTGGCCTTTGCGCCGTGAGTTGGTTCGGATTCGCGCACATCTTTGCACCTGTCAGACTCGACACGTAGCGCTACATGCTGTACATGCATGAGACGTATGTAATACATGTAGGCACCGCCTGCGTCGCGAGCAGCAGGAAACGTTCTTGATATTGCACGTGGCTTGTCTGTGATCTGTGGCTCTGATCGATGTTCCCTGCTCGCTGGCGACGTGAACCACCATCGGAAGGGTTCAATTCGACCAGCGACGCTGCCTGCTGGAGTTCAAGGTTCGGAGGCGAATCCTGGAGCTGAGACCCGTCTGGGGACTGGACCGAAGGAGCCGGAGCATGAGATGCCCAATTACCTTTCCCCGTCCAATCGCGGTGCGGAGAGCCCGTGTCGACTCAGATGCCCAGGCGGACTGAGGGCGGTCGATCGGCTCACAAGCGGGCGGCATCAGCGAGATGCGATGCGATGCGATGCGCCATGCCGTCTTTGTCTCTGGGGTGGTCGTGTGCTCCGTGGCTTCTGCTCTTCCATTGGACGGTCGACCTTTGATTGAGCTTGTAGCAGGATGTCTTCGAGGTTGAGGCGCCCCCAAGGCGGCGCCTTTAGGGCTCTGGCGGTGACACGGGACCTTGACCAATGCCGCGTCGAACATTCGATGGAACATGTTTCCCGGCTGGTTTGTATGACGCATCGAGCACCTGTTGGTCTTTGTGAAAATGAGCTTCTCGTCTGCAGGCCATGGAATAAAAGTCGCCATCGAGGACCTGGTCAGGTTTCCCAAGACGAGCTATCATCAGACGAAGCCATTCTCCCTTTGAAGCGCCACAGTTTGATGATCTCCCTTGAGGAATTGTTCCTAGACCCGAAAATTGCTTCTCCTTGGCGGGTTCACGCGAGGTAATCCTGCTAGACGTCGGAAAACAGTACTATGTGGTCATTGTTACCCCTGCTGGTCAATGTGCGCGGCAGGTAGGCCGCAGGCATCGAAAAGAGCGGGACTCCGACTTCAAGGTCAATGAATCGGGAGATCCAAGCCTCATACTCGGGCGATTACTTTTATTTGATTCCGACACACGAAAGACTGGCTGAAGCCGGACTTGAGGTCATTTTCGGTAATTATACCACATCATACCTCTCCCAAGCCAGATCAACAGACAGGACCTTGGGTGATTAGTTGAACGAGGCTGATGACTTGGAAGACTGGCCTTGTCGACTTTAATTGTTCGTCAATCAACGAACACCTTCACCCTCTGCCAGCCATGACTTGAGTGATGGGACGAAATGCCTCCAGTGGCCAAAGATTCGGAGTTGCCTACGAAGCCAGGGAACAGCGGACCTCAGGGGCTAGTTCGGGGCAGCTTGGAAATACGGAGAGCGTATACAAAGGCTACGGAGGGCCAATTCTCAGATTGATTTCGCACCCCTGTCTTATATTTGACTGCGGACATCACCTGTGGAAGTCCTTTTCACTTTGCTCATTCCATCGCTGACACCGACATCGCGGCATGATAGTACCCAAGGCGCGTCAAGATAAGTGTCACAGTTACTGCGCAAGATTACGTTGCGCCATACTGGGCTCACAAGAAACCTCTCGCCACAAGAAGCAGAGACGGAAGCGAGCAGTTACCAAAGAGAGCAATTGTTACCCTGAACCAGGCGGACATTTGGTCTATCGTCTATTTCTCCAGCACATAAATCTCCCCGAAGATTCCCTACTGGTCATCGGGCAGACCGACAATCTTGAGCGAGTCCCTCCACAGCCTCTTGGCCTCCTCCTTGTTGTACGCCCACGGCGCGTATCCAGGACCAGTGACCTTGTCATCTCCCTCCGCAGTAGGCTTGGCCTCGACGAGGTCAACAAGGTACTTGCCACCGGCTTGTTCCCACTCTTTGCTGACAGCCGCATACACGGTGTTTGCGGCTCCCTGTTCGATACTCTTCATGGTGGGGTAGAGGTGTTCCATCCCCTTGAAGGCGTCAGGGGGCATGGATCGCGTCAGCGCGGTCGCGATGATGCCGGGGTGAACACTGGTGGCGTGAAGGTGGCGGGAGCCAAAACGGCGCTCGATCTCGTTGGCCATGTAGATGTTCGCGGTCTTGGATTGGCCGTAAGACACATACGGGTCGTACTTGGTCTTCTGGAAGTTGTAGTTGTCCGAGTCATTCAGGCCGGCCACGTTGTGGCTAGAGGATGAGAGGTTAACGACGCGGGAGGGTAGGCTCGGGGAAGCGGCAGCGAGGAGAGCAGGCTCGAGAAGCTTGTAGAAGAGGAAGTGTGAGAGATGGTTCGTGCCGAACTGGAGTTCGTGGCCGTCGGCGGTGAAGAGGAGGTCGGGGGTTCCCATGATGCCGGCGTTGTTCACAAGCGCGTGAATCTTGGACGTCTTAGCAAGAATGGTGGCGGCGGCGGCGCGGATAGAAGCGAAAGATGTCTGGTCCATTTCGACGAGCTCCATTTGGGACGGAACGAAGACGCCCTCGAGGGCAGACTTAGCCTTCGTCAGATCCCGCGCCGTGAGGAAGAGGGTAGCGCCGGTGAGAGCGAGGACGCGGGCAGTCTCGATACCGATTCCAGAGGAGGTACCCGTGATGACAATGACCTGGCCCTGCAACTTGCCCTCGGCGCCTTCGTCCTTGACGATTTGTTGGGCAGTGGGGCGTGCATCACCAGGGCCGTTCGGCGTGACGAAAGTATCAGCGTAGCGAGACATGATGATATTGGTGACGTGGCGGGGGAGAAGTGGTGAAAGTGTAGGATTGGTCTGGTATGTTGAGAAGCTGTGCGGTGATGATCTGAGGTGTAGAGTCAACTGTTCCGGGCATGGAACACCATTTGGTTCTTATAGTCGGTCCATTCTGCACGTCCAAGAAACACCGCCCCACGAAAGCAGTCTAAAGAAAAACATTACTTACAAATCGCCGGACGAGACGAGTTTGTCTCAAGTTATCGCCGTGCGTTCAACAGACCTTTACACAGGACGATCCATTCATGTATTGCCGTGGACTACCGTTGGCTGCGCTGATGCATTACCAAGACCGGAGGTCATGACTCGACGTGATGACCTTTTTACCGTTTGCGGTCTAGCGCACCTCGCACTCAAAGCTGGAGATGATCCGTCCCCGAGTTTCTGTGGTATGAGCTCTATTTGGACCACGTGAGTTTTAAGGGGTGGCATTGGGAATTTGACCAAGGGTGCATTCCACTTCTCACCAGAGCCCACCGTGTCATGATCTAGCAATTACACAGCCGAAAGCTTCGGCCATTCCTCGCCACGGAGAACACCTTGACACTGACTTCTTCAAGTCCTGACCGGGGCGAAATGAGTACTGCAATAGGGCCTGCGCGATGGGACACGAGCGCTGAGGACAAAAAATACCACAGAAAGCTTCAGAACCGGAAGAACCAACGAGCACACCGTGAGTCTTTCCCTCTAGCTCCTCATCTGTGCCAAGCTAAGTAAGTACCTCTGAAGGATCGCGGGTCAGAGCCCAAGACCCTGGGGTCGTCCAAGGGTTGCGCCCGTTCAAAGTGAGGCGTTGGCGGCTTGACGAACCGGATCAGCCTGAGAATGGTTTCTCTCCGAACAAACCTTCAGAGCCTGCAGGCGTGGCCGCCACATGTGTCTTTCGTCCCCGGCCTCGCATCCACAGCACACAGTCTATGGCCACGCCCCAACACGACGAAGCTCTCCCAAAGTCGGCCCCCACCACACCGGATCAAGGCCAGACGCCCTTTGTGTTTCCCCTTTCAACGGACCACCTCCTCCACCTTATCCAATACAACGTCTTTCGTGCTTTCATCTCCAACAAGCGCACCTTGAATGTCCTGCTCACAGGTAGGATCGAGGGATATTCCCCTGGTGTTTGTCCTATCAGCGTTCGATACCAAGACGACACCACCATCTTCCCACTCAATCCCAACATCCCTCCCTCCCTGTTTCCGACCAGTCTTCAGCAAGTCAAGTTTCATTCATCATGGATAAATCTCATACCCTTTCCGCGCGTTCGTGATAACCTGATCAGGGGAGAGGGACATTTCAACCACCGGGACCTTCTGGAGGACCTCGTCGGAGAGCTCATGGGCCGCACACCAGCCCTCAGTCGACAGGAGACTCCCGTTACAACCACCATGTCTGACACTGGACCGTTGCGGCGCCTACCCCTTGCAACGAGATCTGATGAAGATGAAGTCACGGCGGGGCGGAGGGGTTTGATCGTGTGGGGTGAACCACACCTCATGCAGAGCTGGGAGGCCACTCCAGCCTTCATTGCTAGGTGGTCATGGGCTGTGGAGGGCTGTGACGAGTTGATCCAACACAGCAATCGCTGGAGGCGTATAAGAGGAGAGGAACCAATGCTCATCTCTTGATCGGGTGAGGAGTATTGAAGATGTCCATTGAGTCAAGTCATGGTGTGCGACAAGAATCTGGATATCAATGTCCTGTCCTGTAAGCAACGACTATCAATGGCCATGGGTTCCCGATTTGAGTCAGACTGCTTTTCTTTGAATATTTGCCCGTTCTGATTACGAGACGATCTACGCGGTTACGCTGTCCATAACTTTTTTATAGTCTCTACCAGGTCCTTGCAATCCCAGAGCCCGTCAGTCCAGGATGACTTTGACAGACCTTCCGAACGACTTCGGCATGCAGAAACGGAATGATAGTGGCTCAAGGCGGTGGGAATTCATTGTGGCTGTAGCGAGGTGGAACAGCCCATCATCTGTACAATCTATCTTACAAGCCTGCCTGCCCGAAGCCAACCCTATGCGCTTGCCTGTGCCATTCTCACGATGGCGTCCTTGTCGCAAAACTCGGTCACCTTCTCGACTTTCGACCCATCCTCGTTGAAGTATAAGAACCAAGCTGACTCGGAGAGGTACACCTCCCCAGTCTTTTCATGAACTTCTGCGATGGCAGTGATTGCGGCCCGACGGGCCTCGGTGTCAATGACCAGGTCGGAAAGAATATTGTTCCTGAATTTCAAGACGCCGATGTCTTTCGCAAAGGCTTCTTCAAACTTCGCATTATCAAAGAAAAAGTCGTCGGGAAGCCCAAAGGCCTGACGCAATGGCGCAGGCAAAATGTATCTTTTGCAGTCATCGGTGACATCGCGGTTGATGATGGATGCGTCATTCTGGATTGAGCCGTCTTCAAATGTGGCCAAGAAAGATTTGACGGTAGCCTCAATGCGTTGTCGGAGGACTGCCGAGGGAGAAGTCGATGCCATGATGAAGGGGTTCGTGAGTTTCTATGAGTGGACTACTGGCGGAGAGTGCTTTGTACGAAGATGCAGATGAACCTCGTCCACACATGATGCCTTGGCTAGGTTATTGTCTTTATACATCACTGAGTCTCCTCACCATTGCACGACTGATTCCTTCCGTAGAGCTTGAACGTGTATGTTCTCATTCTCTATCGATCCAAATCGGGGACTAATTCGTAAGCTTTGATCGTCACAAGAGTGAGCCCAAAACTGAACAATCCGACATTTTGCGTTATGTCGATGCACGACGTCGAATCTCCCCGTTATGTCACCTACCATGTGCGAAAATCCTGCTGCGTGCTTGGTCTCAGCCGCACGAGCGTCGGGTTTCTGCTGTTTACCACGATGACACTTTCGCCCTCCTGGGCTTAGACTTCACGGCTAGGCATGTTAAGGTAGTGGGTACAGCCCCGCATCTCCATACCTTGACAAAGCCTCAGCCGCGTTTTAATGCCCTAACTCCGCGCCATGCTGCACTGTTTTCTTCGGCATCCAGTACCCTCGCTCCGGGGCAAACAGGCGCACGTACGGTGAGTACGGTCTATGTGCCGTCATTGACCTCAGTTCGCTGGTGATTCGCGCCGGAGGAGGAACAAGACGGACTGGGCGGACCGTCAATCCATGTCATCGCACGACAAGCCAAGGATTCAATGTGTTCAGCGGCAGAGCCCAATTACGCAAAAAGACACAGATGCTAACAGCTCATCAATCTTGGGTTGCATGCGGTTGTGTCGACGTCGTTCACGCCAATGTGGGTACATTACATTCCCAGAGATGGTCGCCATCACTCGTGAAACCTGAGCCGGCAGGCAATCCTACGTCTCGAGGCTGATCACATGCGAGCGAGATAGAAGGGGCCGAGGCAATTAATGCAAAATGATAGGACTCTGTCAGATCTGCTAAACAGTCACTCATCTACAATTCGGGAAGGCTATCAATCCTATGCCTCAGCTGGTCCGCCATTACTGCGGATGATGAAATTGACCGCATTTACAGCCGACGGATGTATCATTCAGCATCATCACAAAGCGGATACTCCAAAGAGAATTGCTACACGTGCTTATGAGCAGCCGCGAAGATCTGAGGACGATAAAGTTCGTTGAAATTATGCCTACACCCAGCCCGCAATCATTGCTGATACTCTCCGACTCCTCGGCACCCGGGACGATGATTGTTCTGCGAGTCAACCATCACTTTCCCTCTCACCCCAATACGTTACACGCAGAACCTCGTCAGGCGGCTCATAAACGCCCTGAATTGGCAAGAATTGATCAGATCCGCTTTCCGCGTCAATCCCATCTGCTCGAAGGCTTCCAGATGTGTCTTCCATTTGCTCATACCCGTTTGTGCCTGCACTTTTTGAGCCCGAACTGCAGTCGCGCGAAAGCAACTTGTGTGCACCATGTGATGCCGCTGACGGCGACAAGGGCGTCAGGCCTGTTTTCTTGATACTCCTCAACTTGACGCTGTCGACGAGTCTCCTTGTAGACTTGTCCAACAGCTTGCGGATAGCTGGCAGGCAGCTGCAGATGATTCCGGCGGCCAGCTCCCCTGTGGTCCAGTAGACCACGGGCACGTAGTCTGCGGTTGGATCGAGCGAGCTACCAAAGACAAGAAGTGACTGTAAACGCAGCACGGTGGCGATGAGCCCAAACCCACCAATGGCGAACATGATACCAATCTGAAATTTGCGATTTGTAGGCATGTTGAGGCGCCAGAGCATCCCGATGGGCATTGTAATGATGATGATGTCGAAAAAGATGGCTATGGCCGAATGTGCGTAGGCCAGGGCGTTGATGTCAAGACAGGTGCCGCCTTTTATGTCCCTGTCCCAGAAGAATTGAACTGGACGACACGAGACAATGGTGAGCGGCGTAATGATAATGGTGCTTAAGATGAGCATCGACAAGACGGCGTAGGACCAGCGGCGAAAGGTGATACTGGAGCGGAATATGTGGATGTACATCAAGATGATGGAGGCTTTAGTTAAGGCCAAGACGGCAACGTAGACGACTTCAGCAATGTAGACTAAGGCAGATTAGCAGGGAAGAAATTTCAAAGTATGATTCAGAAACCAAACTCGCATAATCGGAGTGTTTTGAGGAGGTGTCCGTCTTTAAGATCCCATAGGTGCTTGCCAAAGCCTAAATCAACCACTGGAAACGTTTGAGCAGCCGACGTGTACGATACGTGTGGTCAGGGAGCATCTTACTATATTTAACACAGACGATGGGGACCGGGGTGAGAAACTTCGCCGGTTAGCCATAGTAAAATTGCTTGATCCAAGGCAGGGTTCATTACCACGGCGGTCGTGATAACAGTGTCCTCCACGGCCAGATTATGAGTCGTGAGCTTTGAAGCCATGCGGAGCAGATATGCCGTAAAGGCAACTGCGACCATGGAGAAGACGATGATTAAAGTTTCCCGCCCGCGATCGGTGTGCGGGAGTTGACAAACACTAGCCTGAACTCTTGCGACATCTGCTCGCCCGCGCGTGAGCTTGTTATCAAAGATTCCTCCCATGGAACGATCTCACCCAGTGTGTCCTGCATTGTGCAATTAGCTTGCAAGCAGGCAGCCGTTGTGATGGCAAGGTCGGGATTCGAGCACTGGCACGCATTGTCGGTCAACGAACATCCACTGGCGGGAACGGTATCGAGAAGGCATGAGAGCTGTGTTGGATTAGCTGAAGTTGCATTCTATCATTTGGCCCGAGGATGAGGACTGACACCACATGCTGGCAAATTATTGAGGGGCGTTTGTTGACTGCGGATTCCGATGCTGCAGACAGTCACTAATAGGAGGAAGCATAATGATGGCATCGCGTCGCCTTGTCGGCACCCAGTAAAACAAATCGGCCAGCTGACGTCTGGATTTACGGTGTATTGGGACTCCTTATTGTGGAAGGAGACTCGGACCCCAGCGGCTGTGGTTCCATATGGAAAAAGGTTTTGACGTATGCTCATACAAAAGCTTCTAGGATGCCCACCCGCTCATATTAAATATCAAGCAGTCTGGTATTGAAGACGATCTGAGGATGTGTATGCTGGCAGTAGTGGCAGCCGGGAGCTTCGAAGCCCGACTATGCTACTGGTGCGCCCACCCGGAATCACTCACAAATACGGAAAGGGGCTCTTATAAGCAGTCTTTGGCGCTGGGCCATCCTTTTTAGCTGGCCTTTTGTCCCGACTGTCGATCTCGGAGCAGCTGCTGAAACGAGAAAAGTGGCCTTACAAACAGATTGCGACAGAGGCGTGGGAGAGTCTACCCCGACAAGTTGGGTAATTGCCTGATGTGCCGCATTTGCGGCCACGGTTGGACGCTGGGTGTGATGGAGGGCGATGGAGGTCGCTGGGGGGCTTTCGTCTGATGTTAATGAGACCTGCAATGGTCCAGTCGGGGCACTGGAATATGTTGCATTGAGATTAGCGTTCTCTACTCAGTAATTATGCTACTGCTGATCCGGCTCACAGGCCTCTTGGTGACTCTTTTGTTCCATGATAGCGTTCACAAGGAACGTGACGAGTCGCACCACTGAACCTTGCTTGAAGCCCCCCCAACAGGTTAACCGGCATTTGCGAGACAGCGTCTTCAGATGCAGATCTTCTGGTTGGACACGCAACGATCGGCAGGGCGACTCATACCTACACGCATTGCGTCAAATAGCAGGTGTATGACCATAATCTTAAGCTGTGCATAGCTATCGATGACGTTCACAGTGGTGCATACCAGACCGAAGCGCGGAAAACATCAGATGTACAGTGGCAAGCGGGTTGCAAAAAAAAAATGAGACGTACCAGATCCCTCCCCCATAACCATTCCTACTACCCAGCTATTCAGCTATACATTTCTACAACGACTCCAGAGCTTCAGTCTAGGCGAAACGCCTTTCTTTAAAATAGTGTACATTATACTGATCTATAAACTCAATAGTCACTATAATTCTAGATCTTGTAGGTGTCTCGTAGTAGTGTTGTGCAGTTATTCTAGGTAGAGGGGCTGGGGTGAAGCATTCAGTACGTCTCATTTTTTTTGCAACCCGCTTGAGTGGGTGAGCGCTAGAGTCTCTCCATAGGTAGGTAATTTCCAGGACACCTCCGTAACCAGCATTGGCCATAAGACTTCTTTGTAGTACCTAGGTAGGTAACATGATATTTCATCGAAAGAACAAGAACATACATCGCAAGACTAAGCTAATTGAAAAAGAAGACGAACATCTACATACCAACAAGAATCATACCTCTGTAAACACTTGCAACCCTTTCGGCCCTGACTACACTCCTCCTCGTTGTTTCCCTTGGATCACATCTGCACAACTTCCGTCAACGGTGCTCGCTACAAATTGCGAGCCAAAATACTCCCGTCATAGCTAACCTTGTGATCAAATCGCGCCCTTCAAAAGTCTGGGAAACATGATTTGCCCATCCAGCAGTGAGTTTCCTGCGTCTCCAACGGCACCCGTCAGAAGAGCGACAACGAGGTCGTTCATACCTGCAGCCTTGGCTCTCTCAGTCCATTCAGCAAGAGGCAGAACGCCGAATCCATCCACCAGTCCTTGGGCCTGCGTTGCAGTAACGCTTGGGTCGCCTTCTGACTCGGCCGCCATCAAGGCCTGCAGCGGAATGATGTACTCTCCGGAATGGTAGGAGTACCTGATCTGCTCGGGTGCCAAGCCAGCACCACCTTCAGCCACGACGCACCGCACGACCGACCTGGCCGCCGTGTCGACGTCCACGAAGTCTAGGAATGACTCGGAGGTTTCAGTGCTCGCACCTCGCTGGGGATTGCTGCTGCTACCACCTATGATCGGCAACGCCTGTAAGGCGATGCTGTATTTCAGCACGTTAGTCATGAGATCAGTTTCGGATGCACCCTCGCCCATGACGCTGCTCGGTCGGTGAATCCACAGGGGGAGAGGTCTTTTATCCTCTGCTAGGAGCAATGACTGCGTACGCTCGAGGAACCGTTCTCCCGCCCATTTGGTTGCCACATAGCCGTCGGATCCATCTTGTGGAGGAGTTGAACCGGCAACTGAAACCTCGCCGACGCCTCCCAGCTGGCCCCTACTCTGTGCCGGGACGAGATGGGCTACACCGGCAGTAGAGACAAAGTGCAGTGGTGTACGGCGTGGGAGCACGAGTGATGTGATAGTCTTGGTGCTTTCCACGTTGACGGGTCGTAGTGAGGCGTACGACTTGAGGAACGAAACGTCGGCCGCATTGTGAATGACGGCATCAGCGCGACCGAAGATGGCCGACGCGTTGAAAGGAGAGAGACCCAGATTGGGCCGACTCAGGTCACCATCGTACACATGGACCCTGGGGTCATGGAAGATAGCAGGCAGGTCCCGAGTGCTAGCGTCTCGGACAGCAATGCAGTCTACTCGTTGGACGGATGGTTGGGTAAGAAGCTGGCCCAAAATTGAACGACCGAGGAAACCAGTGGCGCCGGTCAGTACTATATTACGTGGGGGGCATCCATGATCAAGGGCTGACTCGTCGGCTTCATTCACTGGCACTGGAGCCGGCTTCGTCTGTTCCTGCCAGTCAACGAGCGTTGATGACTGTGACATTGCAGCAACTGTCGCAGCACCGTCAATCTGAGCGGCCATTCCACCCAATGTCGAGGTATCAAAAAGCTTGATGAGTGGTATGGTGATATTGAACTTGTCCTTGATAGCGGTCTGGAGACGGGCCAGAAGAAGAGAGTCACCTCCAGCGCCAAAGAAGTCGGATTGAGAGACAATTGGCTTGGATCTGAGAACCTCTGCCGGTAGAAGACTCTGCCATAGGAGATACATCTGTCTCTCAGGTTCAGAGAGATGGTGCAGGTGGAGTGCTGTGGAGAGAACATCGCTCTCTTCAGTTGCTGCTGGGGCAGAAGGTAGGGAGAGTTGTTGAATGGCAGATCTGTCAATCTTGGAGCTGATGGTCAACGGCATCTCCCTCAGCGGAACGATAAGAGACGGTTTCATGTGAGCGCTGAGTGGCAGCTCAGCGACCAAATTCCTGCAGAAGGCTTCGGGATCCTGGGGCACGCGGTCCGTGGCGAAGGAGACATGAGCCACGAGGAACTGGGATTCAGTGAGGCCGTCTTCGCCTCCACGAAGAGAAACGACAGCATCAGCAATGGAACCCTTGGCCGCAGCGATCAGGTTCGCTTCGACATCCTGGAGGTCGAAGCGCATCCCGCGTAGCTTGATCTGCGTCTGCCCTGTCATTCGCGATGCCCAGAGCAGAGAGCCGTCGCTGCGCAGTGCCCCACGGTCGCCCGTGAGGTACATTGTTGTCCACCCTTTGGCGATGTCGCGTTCTGTTGCGAATGTGTTGACGACAAACGACTGCAGTGTCAACTTCGGTTGTCCTAGATAGCCCTGGGCAACGCTGGCGCCCCCAATAGCAATCTGGCCGATAACGCCTACAGGAAGCGGCCTGAGGCTCTCGTCAAGTACAAACGTTGAGAAGTTGGGCAACGTCTTTCCAATGGGGATTGCGCTTTCTTGTGCCAAATCACTCATGTAATCCAGCTCAATACCATGGGACACGAATGTCACCTCACAAGGGCCATAAGCGTTGATAACGCTCAGATCCGGTTTCGATAGGCTCCGAAAGGCGGCTTGCACAGCGGTAGTGAGCGTCTCACCACAGCTGACAGCTTTCTGCCATTGACTTTGGAGAAGAGCGGACCGATCACCGCTGTGCAGCCAGCTCGAATACTCGGATGGCGTTGTGCAAGTGAATGTAATGTTCTCGGCCGCGATGACTCGTGTCAGGGCCAGAGGATCGCCACGGAGGTGCCGGGGAACGATGTACAGCGACGCGCCACTGGTTACGGCCAGGAGAAGCTGGAACATGGACAGGTCAAACGTGTGAGCCGTCTGCTGGAGAATAGTCCACTCCGGCTTGATGCCGTATTCCCGGACCGTTGCCTCTACTTGATTGAGTAGATTTGATTGCTTCAAGACGACGCCTTTAGGTGCACCAGTCGATCCGCTGGTGTAGAGAATGAACGCCGGACGATCTGCGTCAGCGGAAGTTGAACCACGCAGCTGATGATCAAGCCTGGAAGCACAATCCTCTATGTTGATTGCCTTGGTGGCCAAGTCGATGCCAACTTCTCCGAGCGAGTCAATGACCCCTTTAGTCTCGGTATGGAATAGAATAGCCAGGGGTTTGCTGTCATTGATGATCAGGGCAAGGCGCTGCAACGGTAGACGAACGTCCAGGGGCACGTAAACGGCGTCCAGCTGGAGTATAGCAAGGACTGATACAGCCCAATCTGCCCTGGGTTGTTGCAGGACCGTAACAACGGAGCCGCTCGTCACTCCGGCATCAGAAAGAGCCTGCGCGACATCTTTCACCTTGGAGCCGAGCTGATCGTATGTGAGAGACTGTCCGTGACCATCCCGGACGGCCACGTTGTTCACGTGGATCGCCATGATGTCTTGGATACGTAGGGGAATTGAGCTCCATTCAGCCTCAACAGCAGGCCCTAAAGTGATCGTTGTGCGTTAGTTTCCCATATGTGCTTGTGTTGTCTCGGTCCGAAGGCCCTTGATAGACATACCTCTTCCCAGTTCAATGGACTTCTTGACTTCCTTCTCGCTGTATAGTGGTACTTCCGTCAACCCAACGCCAGGTTGTTTAGTAAACTCATCTAGAAGATCCATGAAGGTTCTGGAAAGAACCCCGGCATCTTCTGATGAATAGAGAAGCTTGGGAACAGTGAACTGCACATGCGCGTCTCCCCCAGTGGTATCAATGATGTCAAGGACAACGTCATATGCTGTATCGCCGCGAACATATTCTTCGCTAACCACTTTACAGCCAAAGACGCGAGAACTGTCGCCTAGGGGCTGCCGATAGTCGATAAAAACCTGGAAAAGAGGGGAAGCATCGGAAGATCGGGGCGGCTGAAGCTCCTCCAGCAGAACATCAAAGGGGACCCTGGAATGCGCAAGGGCCTTGCGAACCTTGGATTGAGCTTCCTTGATAGCGGCAGCGAAGGACTGAGTGGAGATAGAAGATTGGAAGCGCAGCGGCAGGAGGTTCAAGTACATGCCAATGGCCTCCTGTGCCCCGCGCTCTGTGCGATTCGCATCAGCCATGCCAATGACCAAGTCATCGCCACCGCCAGCTCCCACCAGGCGGGAAAGAAGAGCCCGGAAAGTGGCAAGGTACACATGGAAGGGGGAGACTCGGTGCGTCTTGACCACGTCCTTGATCTGTGCAGCAACCCGGCCGGAGACACGGACGTCAACCTTGTGAGCATCGTAATGTACAAGCGCTCGGCGGGTCTTAGTGAGACTGAAAGGCAGAACTGGGAGAACAGGGGGCAGAGTATCGAATTCAGCCTTCCAAAATGCAAGCTCAGTCTTCATATCACCAGAGGCGATAAGGCTGCGCTGCCGAGTCGAAAAGTCGGGAAACTGGAGCGACGGTGTGAGACGAGCCCCGTGGTAGGCTTTGTGGAGATCAGAAAGGAGGACACCAAGGCTGATACCATCCATGTTGATGTGATGGTACCCAATTGTCAGGTAATGTGTACGTTGTCCGTTGGTGGAGTCGGAAAGGACCGAGATCTGCATTGTGTCTCCGGTCTCAAGGGAGTAAACATGGGTGACCATCCTCTGGTACTCTTCTTGGGCCTCTACAGGCCCCGAGATGGTGCGGTGTTGTAGCTCAAGTTTTGACTTGGCCATGACTTTTTGCACAGGACGGCCCTGTTCATCGAGAGTGAACTTTGTTCGCAAAGATTCGTGGTGTTGTCCAACTTTCAGGACAGCTCGGGCCAGGTCTTGCACACGCAAGTCCCCTTGAATAGCCATCGTTGTGGCAATGTTGAAAGCCGTCTTGGTTTCGAGATATTGTTGAAGAAACCAGAATCTGGATTGACCAAAAGACATTGGCTCCGTCCGGGCCACAGTTGCTGCAACGGCGACGTTTCTGGTCTTATCAAGCTGGTGAATCGAGTCGGCGTTGATAATGGGCCCTAGCTCAAGCCCAGGGGTGGAAAGCGGCGTAAGCTCCCGATTGATACCGGATTCGTTTGATTCTGCAGAAGATGTCAAATCTCCTCGGCTTCCACCGTCACTGCTGCTATCCTCAGAGTAGGACACAAGGACTGGTGGAGGTCCTCCGGTCGGCACCTCGAGCTTCTCGGTGTCGATCCCAGGCTGGCCGTTCGCCAGTGGTGGCGCTGTAGCTTCTGCCTTCATCTCCTCGACATTTGCCAAGTTGAAGGGAGATGTGGCATCCACGTTCGGCATTAGGTCGCTTGACATGTTATCCAGGGCAAATTCCAGCATGTCACCGACAGAAGCGCCGCCAAGAATCTTGAGTACCGGAAGATCAACCTGCAGCTCTCGCAAGAACCATGAACGAATGTCTACCGCCACCAGGGAGTCAACTCCAAGCTCGTCTGCGGCAAGATGAAGCTCCAAGGCGCTATCAGACTGTAGCATTCCCTGAAGACGAGTCACGAAAGCGTCTCTGATGACTGCGAAGGCAGCCTCTTTTGTCTTTACAAGAAGGAGGCTGGCCTTAACAGGCATAGTGGTGCTCGAACCATCCTCCTCTTTCTTGTTGTTAATTCTCTTGATTACGGCATGGCCCACCATGGGGTTCGCCATCCACCGAATTGGTCGCTCTTCGCCTGGTTGTGCGATTCGCACGCCGCAGACAACTTCGGGGGATGGGGCGGCCCAGCTGTTGTCATCGGACCGGGGCCTACCTGCTAGGATGCCCTCGCAGAAAAGCTGGTGAACCTCGCGTTCCGACAGCGGCGTATAACCTCTTTCTTTGATGCGTAGAATCTCCTTCTGTGTCAGTTCGCGAGCCATGTAACCAATGCCAATGACGGAACCAATGGCGATGACTGACGCCGGCTGGCCCCTCCTGCGACGGCGGGCGGCCAAACCGTTCATGAAAAGATTGGCTGCAGTATAGTTGCTCTGGCCATGGTTGCCGAGGACGCTAGCCATGGAACTGAAGAAAATGGCGAAATCAAGCTGTTCATCAGCCAGGAGATCGTCTAGGTGTCGGCTGCCGTCCACCTTGGGACGCAGGACGCGATTCAGAACCTCGGCCGTCATGTCCCTGATTGGTGTGTCCTGAAGGACCATGGCTCCGTTGGCAAAGCCAGCGAGCGGGGGCATGGTTTCGCGAATGACCGAAACTAGCTTTGCAACGGAGCTCTTATCCGTCACATCGTTGGCGATAAACTGAACTCCAGTGCCGCCAAGGGCTTTCACCTTTCGGAGCCATCCCTCATCGACAACCGGTTGTCGACTCGTCAGCACCACGTACTTGGCTCCGTGCCTAACCATCCAGGTGCAAATGGACTTGCCCATTTGTCCAGACAACCCAACAAGCAGATAGGTGCGGTCTGGACGGAAGCTGAATCTCTTGTCAACATTCTCAGCCTTGACTGATACCATTGTCTGTGGACCCGAGGCGGCCCATGTCAGAGCAGTGTCCAGGGACAATGGCGCTGAAAGTGTGGGAAGCTCCGACAAGCTGACGATATTGACAGGTATATCACCAGTCGTTGGTTTGAATGAAAGTTCCGAAATGATGGAAGAAATTCGGGACAGTTTCGAGAAATGGCCAGCCTTGTAGGTTCGCTGCTCGATGGCATCCGTCTCGACAAGGTCGGCCGATGTAAGGGTAAAACCGTTCTTCCCAACAACAGCAGAAATCATGTTGCCGATGCTGTTGCTATTTGGTGAGCTATCAGAGACTCCACTCAAATCTACGAGAAGATGTGCGTCTGTGGGAAGAACATAGCTTAAGGTAAGCTCGGAAGTTCGAGGGTGGATTTCCACAATGTCAGAGGCATCCTCAGTGACGACACCCCCAGTCCGAGTTTGGATGACTGTGATGCCTTCAGCCTCGGCCTGAGCGGAAAGAGCTTTAGCAACAAATGGCGGTATGTTGTGCGCAATGAGTTTGGTCGCGGAAGTTGACTCGGCGAAATCGACAATCCTGCTGGCAATTATCGCACCTGCGAATCTCGCAAGGAGTTGTGGCGTCGGTTCCGTGTCGTCCATGGGGAAGACCCAGCTTTTGGGGAGTTCCAGGGACGAGTGTAGAGATTTAGAGAGTGTAAGAGCAGTCTTTCCCGCTCCCTTGATCATACCGACACTGGCATAAAAGGCCACGGATTCTGACAACTTGAGAGGTAGAAGCAAGGAGTGGAGGACTTCGATGGCAACACGATCGTCGCCGTCAACGAGTAGATGTTGCCCCACAGCATGCTGCTCCTCTCGAAGCTCGTAGTTCCCGCCGGAGAGGCGATCTACGACCACCCTAGTGCTTTGAGGGTCGACCTCAGTAAGCACTGTTCTTCTCGTTGAGTTATACCGATCGTTTCTTTCCTTAGACGCACGGAGTCGAGGAATCAAGATTCGGTCGCCCTCTTCAATCACGATTTCGGGCTCTATGCTCCAGAGCAATTGGTACCCATCGTCAACTGGGCTCCACTGCTCCAAGATCTGGAGCCGCAAGAGTTCTTGTGCGACCAGTTCAGCTCTCATCTTGGCGTTGTCTGTGAAGTCGAGGAACTGCAGTCGGAGCTGCGGCATCTCCTCAAGGGCGGTGCGCGCCCAGCCAATGGTCATGTTCATATACGGATCGCCGCCAGCGCGCGCGTCTCGCGTGACCCAGACAACGTTGCGAGACCGTTCAATCAGTCGCTTCATTGCCTCTAACCTGTCCTCGGTGACTCCCTTGAAAACAGGCGAGTCAAGGTCAGTGAGTGAGAGGACGGTGGACATCGGAGCCATGTCAATCTGAAGTAGGTCCTCAGGCGTGGAGACATGTCGAACGGCTTTGAACCACTGAGAAACCAAAGGTCCTACCTCACCAGCTAGCAACGAAGACTGCAGCTTGGTACCACCAAGGATGATGAGCTCTGCGGCCGGCGTCGCGGGGCAAGGAGCCGAAAGGGGCCTGCGGAGCGAGGTGACGCGGTCGTCGAGCGCCTGAGCGACGAGAACATTGAAAGGCCAGGGCTCGGGGTCTAGGTCGGGCGTAACAGCATCGACGGTGGAAAAACCAGTCTTCTGAAGGACCGTGTTCCAGTGACTGGCGCTGACACAGGGACTAAACTCGCGGCCATCATGGGCATCTCCTAGCCACCAGCCCGGCAACCCAGACATGGCGAATGTGGTTCGGATTGGACGTACATTGGTCAGCTCAAGCATGACAACGTAACCACCGGGCTTCAGGAGACGCCGCACGTTGCGCATTGTTTCGTACAGGTCGCGTGTTGCATGCAGGACCAAGGAGGCCACGACCACATCGTACGAGTGCTCCACGAAGCCCTGCTCCACGACGTCCTTTTCAGCGTCTAGCACTCTAAAGTCCATCCGATCGTCGAACCTGGAAAATACCTCGCGAGCCTTCGGGAAGAATCCGCCCGAGATATCGGTAAAGGTATAGGACGAGAAAGAATTACCAAGGTGAGGAATGATAATCTTGGTAGCGCCGCCGGTACCAGCTCCCACCTCGATAATGTTCATGTGTGGGAAGCGATGGGTGATCTGTGAGACAGCCTCGGCCAGGAAGTGTGAGTTCTCGTCAAAACCGAGACACTGGGCATAAAAATCGTGTAAAACGTTGTCCTCCATCATGTGCTCGAGAATAGACGTCTCGCCCCGCACGGCCGCTGCCAGGTTTCGGCCTACAGCGCCGACCAATTTCATCTCGACCTTGTGCCTGAATCTGTACATAAGGGCAGCAATGTCCTCATCTGTGTCGTCGTACCAATGAGGGTTCGTGTGCGGATCTTGACCAGAACGCAGTTCTCCCAGTGTCTTGCGAGCAAAGTTGACCAGACGCTTGTGGTGCCACGCCGACTTTTCAATGTCCTCTGGCGTCAGCTCGGCCAGCAGATTCTTCAAATAGTGATAGCAAATTCTTTCCGCGACCTCGGCAAGTTCGTAGTCTGCATCTGTCGCTCGGCGGCCCTTGACCATGAGGTTACCGTCCGGTTGAGCTACGCCCAGTTCATACGCCCAGAAAAGCTGCGCGTCTTGCTCTGGCGTTGGTGGCGTCAGAGGCACAACTTCGATGCCGTGCATTTGAATCATGGCGGTTTCACCATCCTTCGCAAACAAGTGTGCGTCTCCGCTTACCGTGCCATTCGAATCAACAATGGAGTCTACTGGGAGCTGACCGGCCCCAAGAGTTTCCCTCTCTAGAAGCGGGAGATCGATGGAGACGCGGCGTATTTTTGTCGGCACGTGCAGTGCATACAGCTTTCCGTCTCCAGGGAAGCAAAACGCGAGCAACACGGCCTGAATGGTACAGTCGATCATGGCAGGATGGACAGTGGGAGACCGGAGGGGATCTTGGCGAGCAGGGTTTGCGATGACACCCGTGCCGGCGTCAAGGGTACGCTTGAGCTCTGACAGTCCCTGAAAGAGCCCTGAATACTCGTAGCCAACTTCAGCGAGATTGGCATAGAACTGTTTCGCGTCCACGTTTACGCCGTTGACGAGCTGCTCCGAGCGGGGGGGAAGAAGTGGCAACGACGTGCTTCCCTCAACAATATCGCTGATCAGTGCCCCATCCTCGAGATTGAGATGCACGCGACATGAGCAGCGAAGTGGTAGAGAAGAGACATCTGAGTTGGCCAGACCGGCGTAGAAGCGAATCGTGCCGTTGATTGATCTAGCATTTTCGTCGTACTCCTCATCAAGGGTCAAGGTGAGCAGGGTCTCAACACCCAGGCTGCGATCATCGAAGATGATGCCCTTTCCAATGACAAAGTCAAGAATGTCCATACCCTTAATGGCAAGAGTCTCACCCCGACGGGCCACCAGGATACGGCACGCATCGATAGCCATTGAGAGGTAACCTGCTGCTGGAAAAATGATTTGTCCTTGTACCATATGACCTCCGAGCCAGGGAATCTCCTTGGGTGAGAGGAGGTTCTTCCAACGGAGGAGTGTCGGGTCGGTTCCATCGGGACAGCAGACACCCAGAAGATCGTGGTAAGGCGTCTTGCGAGTTCTGGTGGCTTTGACCAACCGGGACTCTCTCCAGTAGACGCGGTCATGGTCAAATGCGTAAGGAGGGAGGTTCTTGATAACGTTGGGCTGCTGTTCCCCTGACATTGTAGCATCAAACGACTCGAGCTGAAGTAAATCGCTGTTGGGAGAGAGATGGCTCCAGAGATATCCAAGTGCGTCGGCGAACGATTCCACATCATCGACGCCGCGCGAGAGAACGCCAGTGTACGGGATACGGTTACCCTGGACTTCCTGGATGGTCTGTAGAGCTGGACCTTGAAGAGCCGGATGAGGCCCGACCTCAAAAGCCAGGTCAAAGGGGCCCTTGGTGTCGATAGCCTTTTTGAGAGCTTGCGCAAACAGAACCGGCTTGACCATATTATCTCGCCAGTATTCGCCATCAAGACCTTCGGATTGAAATTTCATTTCCTCTTGATCCTCCCGGACACTTGAGAACCAAGAGCAAACCAGACCTTCGCCTTTCCGGTCGTCGAGAACCCGAACATGGCAGCTACGCATCGATTCCACGTACGGCCCGGCCGGCGGGAGCATATGATGCGAGTGGTATGCGGTGTCCACGCGAAGGAGTCGCACAAACCTGCCCTCGTCTTGTAGGATAGACTCCGCTTCTTTCACAGCGTCCGAGTCTCCAGACAAGGTAACGCTGGAGGACGAGTTGCAGGCGGCGACGCAGATGCGACCTTGCATCTCCTCGAATGCGCAGAACTCCTGAGCATCCTCAACAGACGTTCCGACAGCTAGCATGGCACCCTTCTGACCTTTGGTTCCTTTTGCGAGGCTTGAATGAAGACCACGGTAGTAGGCGATACGAATAGCATCTTCTGCGCAGATCAAGCCGGCGGCGTACGCAGCACCGATCTCGCCCGAAGAGTGGCCAACAACGGCCTCGAAGCCGATGCCCGATGCTTTAAGCATCTCAACTAGAATAACCTGGACAGCCGTGCACAGAGGCTGCGAGAGTGCTGCCTGGGCGATACGAGACTTGTCCGCTCCAACGAGAAGCTCCTCCCTCAATGACCACGTAGGTGCATCCGGAAGGAGACTCAGGCTAACCTCCAGACAGTCGACAATCTTGGAGACAAAGTTGGAGCCAATAATGAGAGATCGTCCCATAGCCGCCCACTGTGCTCCTTGACCTGTAAAGATGCCAAGGATCTTGGGCTTCAGCGAAGGCAGCAGGTTGATGGGCTCGTAGGTGGATCCGAGCCTTTTGTCAATCTTGGCCCTAAGCTGTGCAACGCTGCACGCAGAGAAGAACCAGCGGTGCTGGAACTTGCTGCGGCGGGTGGCGAGGGTCCAGGCGAGATCCGTCAGACTGACTTCGGAGTTGTTTTCGAGCCAAACGGAGAGGCGACGCGCCTGTTCGAACAGAGCCTTCTCTGACGCAGCGGAGAGACAGATTGGGAGGAAAGACGGAGCTGACCGAAGTGACCGCTGAGGTTGATCCCAGATACCAGGAACATACTGCTCAACGATTGCGTGTGCATTGGTCCCGCCGAACCCGAAGCTGTTGACACTTGCTCGTCGAGGAATACCTTCTGGAAGCTCTGGCCAAGACCGAGCTGCCGTAGCTATCTCAAGATGCTTGTAGAAGGGCTCCACGGCCGGACTGAGCCTGTTGAAAAGCATGTTTGGAGGAATAATCTACGAAATGAGAATATGTGATGAGTTCACGTCCTATCTTCTCCTGGTTGTGTTTTGTGGCTTGAGTCAACTCACAGAGTGTTGGATTGCAAGCGAGGCTTTCATGAGTGCGGCAATACCGGCGGTTCCCTCAGTGTGTCCAATGACAGTCTTGATAGACCCTACGTAGAGAATGTCGTTGGAATCGACGCTAGTGTTGTCAGCTCCGAAAAATGCCTTCTGGATAGCCGAAGCTTCGATGGGGTCTCCAGCAGGTGTGCCTTTGGTGAGTTGGTGTCAGCCATCTTTCCAAGTTGCCAAAGTTGATGGGTCAAAAATGGAGACGCGTCTTACCGGTGCCATGAGCTTCAAAGTATTGGCATCGCTCGAACGGATCGGTGAGATCGAGACCGGCTTTGGAATAGGTACGTCTAATGAGAGCCTCCTGTGCCGTGCTGCTTGGCATAGTAATACCTGTGGTACGACTACAACATTTGTTGCTCTCGTTAGTTCCAGTCTGGATCCGACAAGGCATTGTACACGCAGCTCAATAGACAGTGGGGAGTTCCACTTACCCGTCTTGGTTGACGCCAGTGTCTCGAATGATGGATTCAATATGGTCGCCATCACGAATGGCATCGCTCAGCTTCTTCAGCACTACTGCAGCAACACCGTCGCCCCGCGCGTAGCCGTCGGCATCAGCGTCCCACATGCGCGATCGACTGCCTGGCGAAAGCATATGAAGCTTGCTCTCCGTGATATATCCCACTAATTATCGAAGATTGTGGTTAATACAGAGTATCTTATTTCCTAAGCAGGAAGCTTTGGCGCAAATAGTCAACTTACTAGGACTTAAAAGCAGGTTTGCGCCAGCAGCGATTGCCACCCGAGAGGTGCCATTGCGAAGAGTTTCAACGGCTTGGTGAACAGCGATGAGGCTGGACGAGCAGGCTGTGTCGATGGTCATGCAGGGGCCGTGCCAGTCGAAGAAGTACGAAATGCGATTCGACATGATGCTGCGGCCGGTGGCTGTAGCAGTGTAAGTCGGCAGCTGGTCGACATCGCCTGCCACAATGTTGCTGTACTCTTCACACATCAGTCCAACGTAAACCGCCGTGTCGGACCCTTGCATTTTTTCCATGGCAAAACCAGCAGCCTCGATGGACTCATAGACCGTCTCCATGAGAATACGCTGCTGAGGATCAATGCTGTGGGCCTCGACTGGCTTGATCTTGAAGAACTGGGCGTCGAACACCCGATGATCCTCTGTCAACATGTACGATTCCTTGACATTGGAGCTACCATGGTACTCTCCATCTTCGTTATAAAATCCCTCGGGATCGAAGCGTACCGGCGGAATTTTGGCCAGAACATCTCGAGGCTCGCGCAGAAGAGTCCAGAGCTTCGATGGTGACGAGGATTCTCCGGGAAAGCGACAGGCACTTCCAACAATCGCAATGGGCTCGCTCGTGTAGTTTTCCATCTTGAAACAGATAGAATACTATCAGAACTTGAAGTCAAATAAAGATGCCGCAACTTGGTTGAACAAGACGAGTTCGAGTTGAAAGAAACAGCGTGCAAGATCGGAAACCACTAACAGAACAGACTATCATTGATATATTGCCTATCGCTTAACGCGCCCATCCCTTTTCGAAATCGCCACAAGAATAACCTTAGGTTGCGATTCCCAAGTACCAGCCTACACTGACTACCTACCTGGCCCACCCCTCAGGATGCCGAAAGGTGTGAAGGCATCTAGCTACGGGATCCGGGCAAGGCTTACCCGACACAGCCCTTGCGCAACGCCTACTAGGGTGCGCAGAGTGATCGCAGCCTTCTTTTCGCCTAGCCCGAGCTGACAATCTTCAATCTCTCCGTAGCCCGGAATAGTCCATCGATCCAGCCTCGGTAGCGACTCGAGTTTCGGATGAAAGGCGTGCCTGAACCGAACCTGGGCAGAGAGTCAAATTACAATTAACAGAATCAGTGACAACTTGCATGATATCAGTGCATCATTGGCCAATAATCAGATAATATCATTGCAGGAAGGCGGTTTTCCAGGCACAGCTTACTATCGGGGGCCAAATGACTTCAGCCCCAAGCTTCGGCCCGGATCTCCCAATGGGGCAATTCCACAGTGCAACCGAACGGATTCGGTGTTATTTTCTCGAACAGATTGACCACTTAGTCAAAGCCGAATGCGAAGAGGTCGTTTCGCAACAAACTTGAACAGAACATTCTTGGTGATCAGAAGGTTCTACGCTTCCGATGCGGAAGGGAATCTTCTCTTAGATCAAACTCTTAACATGACGACCAAAGAAAGAAACTCAAGCAAATGGAAATCTAAACCTCAGGCATTTGAAACACCAACTCACTCTATTCTCAATTTCTTGACGATTCGATTATAGACCTACTCAGCCTACTTTATCAACATGCTGTTTCACCGGACTCTGGCCAGCATCTGGTGCTTCGTCAGTGCAGTTTCCTCATGGCAACATACCTTTACTGCTGGAGGCTTTTCGGATTGCGATCAACCATGCTTCACAACAGACGTTTCTGCCTACCAGACCGTTAAGGGCCCGGTCTGGATGTCAACCTCTCCACGAGACCACATGACCCGATCTCTTTTGTCCGCCGTCAATGGATCAGCATGGGAACAGTGGTATTTTGACGTCGTATCCTCGAAAGCCGACGAGTCACTTATGATGTGTGTGTCCCGCGATGCGTCCTACACTATGATGGGCCAGGGCGTCCTACGGATTGAGTTCTTCGTCATGCTCGCTAACGGCACCATACTCGGCGGACCTGAATTTGTGGACCAATCTCGCGTCGAAGATTGTTGCGGCCACGTCCGCGGCGTATGGGAAGGTCCTGACCGATCGTACGCCTTCACAATCTCCCGCGACCTAAGTCACATCGAAGGCAACTTTGAACGCCCAGGTATCCGCGGCCAATTTGTCCTCGACGCCATTACTCCCGGTCGTTACGCTGATGGCTCCACGTGGCCGTCTACCACGGCGAATCATGAAGTTTCTCCCATGTTACGTATCGCTGAGCCGATGTCTGCAGGCCGAGCCAAGCTTGAGCTCATTTTGGACGGCGAAGAACCCAGAGTCATTGAGGGGCTTGGAGGTCATAACAGATTTTGGTCATCCAAAGATTGGTTCAGTCTGGTGAGCAAGTGGAATGTAGGTCGCGCTACTGTCGGCCCCTATCACATATCGATTTGGGAAGATGTCTCCAAACTCGACGGGAAGAAGTACCAGGGCAGCGTGCTGTTCAAAAACGGTGAGCCTTTGGTGCGAGCAAGTGGAGTCTTGCTGCCGAACACTTCCGAATCGACTCCTCAAGCGGATCATCTCTTTATGAACCGTCGTTATGGTGGCGATGTTCACAGCAACTGGGGCGACATGTCTACCGGCTGGACATTGGACTTCGTGTCTCCCAGTCGCGGCCAGCGATGGACGTTTGAATTAGAGCACAAGACACGCCCTTTTGAGGTGGGATTGGGTGAGAACAGAGGTTTGGCAGGCTATACTGAAGTCGTTTCCGGTGGCGAAGTAGGCGGCGAGCAGTTTGACTCAGGATATGGATGGACGGAGCTAGTCGACCTACCCAAAACCTTCTCACTCAAATTGATGATAGGCGTATGGTGGCAAATGGCAAGCTCGGGAGATCTCTTGTCATTCATGTGGAAGATGGTCAGCGCGCCATTTAGAAGTGGCTGATAGGGTTGCTCTCTCCTTTTTACATTCACTGTCGGTGTATCACCCAACTGCTGTACAGCTCTTAATACACGACTTTGAAACATCTTGAGCAGATTTCCCACTTTGAAGGTCGATGATATGCTGCTGTGTACGTATTTACAAGTCCACGTTAGCACCGACAACGACGTAGCCACCTGGATGCTCGAAATAAGGTGTCATTGCGGGGGCATGAGCAGATTGAAGAGGTCTTCTGCAGGCGAAATCCACAGTTAATTGTTGGGCGGAGGGTCAAAATACATGTGGATGCTGGCCATCCATAGCCGCTATGTATACGCCTTTGCAACCTCGATTGTTCATGATTCTACCCTTGAAAGATCTCAATCGGTGGTTCTGTAGGTGCTTTACGACACAGAGGAACTCTGGAGGCTGGGGGTTTCTCGGGAAGCGTGTATTTGGGGATCTTTCACATCTTGGCGAACACGAGCTGAATGCCGTTGCCCGCCCCCCCAAAGCTAGTTTGATGCACTATGATAAAACTCGCTCCAATCGGAAGCTAGCAAGTATGGCCATTGATTATCTCACGTCACTGTCCAATAATGCCTCCCAGATCACATCTTGCCTCCTTGCCCAAATGGTCAAGTGGCCTTCGTATTCGAAGACCTTCAAAGCGCTGCCAGTCAGCTTGTCCTGTGCCCTCCTAGCAAGAGGTACAGGACAGGCGTCATCGAAGCCGCCTTGCCACATTGTCAGATTCTTGCCCACAATGCTCTGCAAGTCGAAACCCCAAGCACGACCCATAAGCCCAGCTTCATAGGCCGCCCCACGGGAGTCCTGAGCAAAGGAGTGACGGGCAGACTCGATAAACCCGTCAGCAAACTCCTTGTTGTCAGCGAGGCACTTCCTATCGACAAAAGGTCTGCCCTCGGCCTCCTTTAGCAGCCGGGTTTTGAATAGTTCCGGATCTGTTCGTGCTGGCTTGCCCATGAGCCAGTCGAGGAGTGGTATAAGTAGAAACCAGAGGTATCCGACAATCCAAAGGGTGATCCGAGTGGAAAGCTTGATCCCTGTAGACCCAAGAGAGAGAGGGTAGATACCAGAAACAATGGCAGTACCTTGAAACCGAGGGAGGTCGTGTTTGCTGGTGGTAGATTGCTCATGGAGGCAGGCAAGCGCATATGGTGAACCACCCGCCACGGCAAGAATTCGACAGTCTCTGCCCACAAGCCCGAGTTGACGAGTAAGGGCAGATATATCTGCAGGCCAGTCGAGGAAGTGCCGTTCGGGCTGGTAGCTAGAGAACCCAATACCGGGGCGGTCGGGTGCAATGAGCCGGACAGAATGCCGAACAGCGGAGTCGTGCCAAAGAGCTGCCTCCTTATGCGAGCCTGGGAAGCCGTGAAAGAACAGAACTGGGGCGCCAGAGGGTTCGCCATACTCCGCATAAGAGAGTATTCTCCCATCGGAGAGGAGCAAGCCGGTCTCCTCGCCAACAGCTTCTTCGTGAGGGGCCATAGCTGCGATTGTGCTGACGACGAATAAATAATGTTAGAAACTGAGGTGGACAAACAGATGGCCTCCAAATTGAAACAATGCTGGCAGTGAGATATTCGACTTCGTTGGACGACGCGAAGCCCTTTACAAGAAACCAAGAAAGTCAACGAGCCACTGTTCGGACATGACACCAGTTTGAACGCATACCACCAAACCAGCCAAATCAGCTTCCATCTTCTGTTGGTCTGTACTATTCACTGTACATCACTCGAGCGCCTCGCGCTCCTGTCCGTCGCAGAGTGACTGCAACCCTATTCGGCGTTTCGGCTTCGGCGTCGGCGATTTGCACCACTCGTATACTCTGCGGAGAGAGATGGCTGCCGATGATCGGCTTGCGCTGGCCTGGGTCGATCTCAAAACTTCGCTTCGAGCCCGAGTGAGATCGGTGCACCTATTGGGTGGGTAGCATGCCCCCTATCAGCAATGCAGGGTCTGCCAGCCTACGCGGGACAGTAAGCGAACATTACTCGGTGTGGTTTTCGTGCTGGTAGAATTAGAATATCATCCCTATTCGGCTAGTTCGTTTGTCTGAAGGGGGGTCAGACTCTACCGGCTGTTCACATGCGGAACATAACTGGCCCGGATATCTCTTCAGCTGCGATTAACAGCCTGTTTGTTGGTGGGGTGGATCAACGGATTGCGCTGGCAGAGTGTGAAGAGTAACTGTGGCAGCTCCCAGTTGCAGAAATGCGTATGGTGTGGCGGACCCTGTCAGCCGCACCCAGTACATGCATCAGTTACCTTGGCTAGGTGCAGGTAAATGAGGCAACATCAGGAATCCTGAGTCCAGATCGTTCCTACAGCACGCCACAGCCAGGGCCAGATCCGCGCATTCCTTCAGCCCCTCTGTACCAGTCAAGCGATCTAGTGACTGAGGCCCTCGTGGGGGCTCCTGTATCCACAGGGCTAAATGCTCACCAGAATGCAGTGTAACATTGTAAGCCTGACGGTCTTCCTCCGCGCTGCCTCTTGGCGTAGGGCGAGGCGTAGGGCGAGAATCGGCCCGCGAATCCAGGGTCTTCCTATCAGCTATTGGTCGGTTATTATCGACTCGCTTCAACATTGTTACATTGCATTACCATGGTTCGTTTTGGGTTGAACGGCCAGTCATCTCAAGGCAGACACCGTTTGAAAGGCAGACAGCCCACCCTTTACGCATAGTTTATGAGATACCTTGATCAACTAGGGCATGAATTACGAGTATGGCCAAAATACACTGCTTAAAGGTAGCTTTCTTGACCAACAGCTGAAGTGCTAACGAGGACAGACGCATCCCATCCTAACCCTGAGGGGTAGCACAAGCTATTGGGCAGCGGCCGGGGCGGTTCATCGCTTGGCGGAATAACTCGTACCGATGAATCTTTAGTCACTTGGTTAACACTCAAGTTCTTATCGGCAAGTAACGACACAGTCTTCTCCGCGCGGCTTGCTCCGTCTACGCCACCCAGTTGCACCATAACAGATGGCCCTTGAGGCGGCCGCATTGCCGAATGGATCCTGCTAAGCACGCAACTCTACGGGATGGTTGTTGTGTTTTTCATCCTGAATTTTAGACAACACCAATGAGTTGTTCATTGCACCATGTAAAGCTAAAGATAAGTATCATATGGCTGAGCTGTCTCAATTCCTTCAAGGTTACGTGGGCGCTCGGTGTGCATGCATGTGCAGGCTGTGGCCGCCTTTGCCCCCAAGGATCTGCTCATTTCCGGGTTCGTTTCGATAAAACGCTCTCGAGTACGCGGATCCTATCCAACCAAGAAGCCTTCCCAAATAGACTTGTCAGTAAGCATTCAGCCAGGTGAGAGAGTCAATTTTTCAGTACACGCATGTAAAAGTCCCATTCGCACCTGGCAATTGGTTGATACATTTACGCCGGCCTGTCTCCTTGCCGTCGGAACCTGCCTTTAGCCACTCAGCTGTATTTACTGTCCGGGAACCGACAGAGCAGTGTGGGTGCGGGTCTCGGCGTGTCTTGAAGGTCGATTTTGGCTACCGGTTTGCTATATCCTCAGGGTCCAACGGGCCCGTGCTGGCTGTCTCACCACCATCTGTCAATTTTTCATTTTGCCCCTTGGGTGGTCTACAGTCAGTAAGCACCAATTATTTCATCATGTCCGATCCCAAAACTGCTAGTTCACCTGGATTTCTGGTACACGTCATGGGTCGACAAGCAAGGCATGCAGCATGCGATCGCTGTCGTGCCCACAAACTACGTTGTCAGTATGACAACGATAACGCTCGTGGCGGTAAGGCAGAGGACCAACCTGGTAGTCCGTCTCCCAGATGCCGCAGATGTAAACGAGCCAATATGGAATGCATACAGTCGACGAGCATCAGAGTGGTGCGTCCACCAAAATCGTCCATACGTGAGCTTTCAACCCCCAAAGAGAAGCCAAAAAGCCCGACCTCAGCAATGAAGTCGCAATCATCGCAACAAGCGCACGAGTTTATCGAGCAAAACAGCAGCACGAACACTGCCCTTACACTGGAGGGCTTCAGCGAGGCATTCGGGCACGCAGCAGGCTATACGTTCGATTTGCCTCGCGATGTGCAAGGTCATCATGCGGATAAGGAGACTTCCGACCCCAATGAAGTCGACTTTATGTTCAATGACTCTCTTCTCAGCTCAGGCCTGCAAGAATTCTCGGAAGATTTGCTCTTCATCGACATGGCCGAGGGTTGTACTGCACCAGAGCACGCGGCTCATGCACCTGTAGAAACCCGGGGTGGGCCGGGGTATCCATTTGACGCGTTAATGGCCAACCCACCAGCTGCTACTTTGGACTTTTCTTGCCGACAAAACGATCAATCAAATTCTTCCGTGAATTCACGAAGCGGACAATTGGAAGAGACACAACACAAGGTGCTTCAAGGTACATTAGCAACTTCCCTTGGCCACAGTGCTGGCGAAGGCCCCGGGGCCGGCGGAGGGCCTGAGGTGCAACGTGGCAGCGATTCCGATGGCAATACAGACTCCCTCATACAGCGGCTGTCTGTCCTCAGCGTCAGTCTACATGAACTCTCTGCGGAGACAGGGAAGCCAGCGCAGCCTGCGACCACCATTCGACAAAATGCCACACCACTCCTGGAAAGAATCGGCTTCCGCTGCGATGACTATCCCATCGATTCCATCCTCATGGCGACACAGACATTTGTCGAAATTCTAAGTGGTTTCATTCAAATGGAAAGCTGTCAATGTGCGGAGCTGGCTCTCAAAGTTCAAACACGCTCAGATGAGGGGCTGTCACAATTGGCACCTGATGTGGACTCATTCCCTACGTTCACTGGCGACGAAGATCATGTGAGAACTCAGAATCGGCACATTCAAGACCCTTCGACAAACATGGACACAGACATGTGTTTCGATGAGTACCATGGAAGCGACACAGAGTGCAGCAGCAGAGAGCAATCGAAGCTCGACATACATACTGCACTTATCATCATTTCGTGTTATACCCGTATCATGAGAATCTACAGTGATCTGGTCACTTATATCCGCCGACAAGTGCACGCCTCCGCTGGGCCTGGCGCTAGCATGAGTGATCGAATCGCAAACCTTCCTGTCTTGCAGCTGGGTACGATCCAGATCAGGAACGACACGGCTTTACAGGCCCTCCTCCTGGTGCGCATGGGTCTTCATATGATTGAGAGGATTGAACGCATACTGGAGACGCTCGTCGGGAAGTCGACATGTCCATGTAACAAGCCTATTGAGGCAGATGAAACCGACCAAGGGCTGAGACACCAACATAGTTCGCAACACAGACGCTCCGCATCATCTTCTATATTGAGCCAGACGTCTCGAACGATTGCCCTGGGAGGCAACGGCTTCGCAACCCCGTTGTCGCGCTCCTCGACATGTGGATCAGGTCATGGCGGTAGCTCGCGCAGGAGCGTGCTATCAGGGTCAGGTTCGACGTGCAGCCATACCGAGAAGAGGCCAAATCCTACAACTAGTTCTGCAATTAGACACATCATAGAGCTAGCTATAAAGCAGGAGGACTCCGAAAGCGAGGGAAACGGGAATAGAGGGATCGGGTCGCTGAAGGAGGATATACGGCTACTGGAGCAGCTCTTACAGTAACAAAAGGTCGACTTCGTACGTTGAGCAGCTGATGAATAAGAGTTTGGTGCATAGATTTTGACATGTTGACGGGCAAATCTTCCTTCACAGGCTAAGCTCGGAGAAGGGACCGCACTTGAATTCAAAAGTGAAATTTATTTAAGATCGAATGGAATGAGTCAATGCCAGAGTAGCGAACACCCAAGCCGGTCCATCAGCAACAACAAGCCTTGCCAGGCTCACCATGAGCCAGCCTCGAAGCGCTTTTTCCGTACTTTCAAAGGGAGCCCTGGCGTCTGAAAATCCCTGAAGTCCATCCCAAGCAAACTTAGAGAAGATCAGGTGTGCTGCCGTAAAAAAAGCACTCCAAAAGGAGTAATTGTTGGCGCCGTGTTCAGGCCCGTAGTAGAGCATAAGACTGACAATACCACCAGCAAGATAGAGGACGCCAAGCTCGGATACATTAGGTAGGTAGAATGCTTGATACCACAGCGGTAGAACCCTTCCACGAGATTGATAGGGCACCTTTTGGTGAAGGAAAGCTCTGAATGCAGTCTGCTGGTCATAGTTTGATTGAAGGCTGACATTCCAAGTACGTGTCAGGAGGACTAGTGGGCAACAGGATGTCGAGAACAGAAATTCTACTTACATCATGGAGCTTGTGATCACGGGGATAACCCTGAGTAATTCAGATGGAAGAGACATGTTTCGACAATGCGAACAAGATATGTGCGTGATCTGGAATAATCGAACTCAAAGGACTGTTTAGAGCGATCACTTGGATGCAAATGCATGCTTCACATTCTAGGTCAGGTTGGCTTCCATGTTTATTATGGCCAAGTCTACGCTGTCTGTTCACTGTGTAAAGTTCGGCTCTCTATCCACCAGCGCTTACTCCCCAATATGCCAAGGTATCGTGCGACAATCCTTGTTCAATCCCGATTGAAAGAGTTTCCAAATTGTAGCTTCATTGCTGATGAATGTCATTCCAGATCCCGAGAACATCACCCGACACGTCGGGCATCCAGTGGCATAACCCAAAGAGGCAATCCGGTCCGAGTGGATCACCCCACAACCCCGATCCGAACCGGTCGGGGGTCCAGACCGAATGTGCGGCTTCCAGAACTCGATAGGCAATGTACAAGACTGGTTCAAAATTCGGCCGGCTTTCCTCCTGTTGCTTTGTAGGCTCTGTATCATCGCCAGATATACCTTCTTCGATCACCTTGCCCCAGCTTGCTACCGAAATCAGTCCCAGGAGGCGTTGCTTATCTCCCTTCTCTACCCATCATATCCTTATCGAACCGTTTTTCCACTCGTTTGCATCCAAGATCAAGATGATTAGGTTCTCCAAAAGCGATTTCATGGATTTTGAATTGCATCGCATTCTTTCTGCTGCACCTTTTGAGGGCTCCGAGATCGCCGAATTTCTCCAAGGAGCATCACTGGCAGCTCAGGGGCCAAAGCAATGGCACCAAGCCTGGAATAAGGCTGGAGAGCAAGCCGAGGCCATCGCGTATGAGGCAGCTCAGCTCGGCGATGCCGTTTCCGCGCGAAAGGCACATCTGCGTGCTTGCAACTACTTCCGAGCCAGCCAATACATGATGTTCAGAGAAGAACTGCCACGCATTCTGCCGATTTCTGAGCGCAGTGTGCATAACTTTCGAGCAGCCATTCCTCTGCTCGAGAACTGCGCCTCTGTAGAGACACTTGCCATACCGTATATGACAGATGACGGTGCCACTTACATGCTGCCTGGGTACCTCTACCTACCAGCCAAATCCAGGCGGCTTGCTGCACAGAACGAAACGCTAGTACGCAAAAGGCAACTCAACGGCTCAAACTTGGACGAGACAATTCGCAACGTGCCAATCATACTGGCAACTTGTGGCGCCGACTCCACGCAGGAGGAGCATTATTTTATGGTAGCCTGCGCCGCCGTCGAGCGCGGTTATGCTGCTCTCAGCTTCGAGGGTCCGGGCCAAGGCCTTGTTCTCCGTAAGCATGGGCTGCCGTTTCGACCTGACTGGGAAGTGGTTGTGGGTGCTGTGCTCGACTACCTCTTTGAGCTCGTCAAGACGCAAGACCGGCTTCACTGCCTTGACACCTCGCGAATCGGCATCACAGGAGCAAGTATGGGTGGTTATCTGGCACTTCGCGGCGCGTCGGACCCAAGAATATCTGCTTGTGTTAGCATTGATCCTTTCTACAGCCTGTGGGATTTTGTCAAGGCGCGTATGCCGGGGGGCCTCATGGGACTGTGGGAGAGCGGCTGGATCTCCGACTCGGTACTCAACGGTGTTGCTAGCATCGGCCGCATGCTAGGCACATTCCAGGATAAGTGGGAGTTGGAAAACTCCAAATGGATGTTTGGCATTGATATTCCGTCAGAGATGTTTCGCAGAGTGATGCACTTCACTCTTGGGGAGGTGCCACCCCTGGGTCGAGAGCGAAGCCTAGGCGGGGCGTCAGACGATCAGCAAGGATTCCTCCATCGCATCAAGTGTCCCGTTCTGGTTTCTGGAGCAGGTCAAAGTCTGTACTTCAAAACGCTTGGAGACACTACCAAGCAAATACAGACCGAACTGGTCAATGTGCCGGACTCAGACAAGGTAGTGTGGTTTTCTGAGGAACCAGGAGAGGGTGGGATTCAGGCTAAGATTGGAGCTTTTGGCTTGGCCCACATGCGGACTTTTGAATTCTTGGACAAAAGCTTTGGGATCCATCGCCAGGCATTGTGAGAGTTGAGCAAATAATTGATTATGTTATGCAGCAGAAGATTGAATGATCATATGTTCTTGGTAGTGAATAGCAGTAGAAGTAGAAGGATGGCTCTATCAAAGACTCCGGGTATCCATTCCGCAACTTTTACCTGTGCCAACAAGCTTAGAGTACATCCGCGCCGTAGATAACAGCAGACTGCTATGGGGTTCAATGGTGTTGGCCTTCACGGACGACGAAAACTTGTTAATGACTATAGTCTCGACGACTTTACTCGGGACAGGCCCATAAACCCGGGGATCTAACAAACAGTAGATACCAACTTCTCGCCGGAGACCTTTTGCATCTTCAAATCATCCAGACCCTTTAAGATCGAGTTCCAACCCCCGGCCAGCATTCTGATGGGATGGGGCAAAAGGTGCCCTTCGTCGATCAATCTCTGGCAGACGGGCCTCCACTCGAATCCTAGTTTGACATGTTCAGGAACGACGGGAAATGTGTAGCCTTTTCCAAGATCAATAGGTCTGCCGACCATTGTCATCCCCATGACCCACTCCCGTTTGACAACACTTCGTAGGCCTGGAAGATCAGGAATCCGTTCAATGGCCGTGTACTTGCCACCCATGCGGCCAAGTGCTTCGTGGCAGATCTTGACGCTGGACGGGGACGTAATGCAGTCAACGGCGTACTTAAGCCTGTTATTTGTGTGGGACTTGATGTCCGCAGCGCAAGTTGGAGAATGGTAATCGAAAACAGTCTCTGCGCCTCTCGACCTGACTAGCTCAAAGTTGTGGGGCGAACAGGTCGCAATAGGGACATGTCCGGACCTTTCAGGTGGTTTCAAGTCAGTGTTTTGTCTTGTCGAAAGGAATGACGATCAAAGTTGAGAGCCGGAGTTCAAGAAAATGCTACGTGAGAGAGAACAAAAACGTACAACTTGAGCAATTGGATGATCATGGCACCACTGGCGGTGCTCCCACCATAAACGAGCACTGTAGCAGGGTCCTCGGGGCCCTTGTTGAAGGGTAATGGTCTCAGCCCCAGCGAGCCGTAAATGACCACTGCAGCCGTGGTGATGCATGCACCTCCAATACTCGCCGCTGTTTCGTAGGACATGGAGTCTGGAATCCGGACGACTTCGAGCTCAAATGTCGGCACATACTCCTGAAAAGCCCCCGACTGGTGGTTCGACGGGTTTCCGCCCTGAACGGCGCCAAACACACGGTCGCCGACCTTCCACTGTGTCACAGCTGTGCCGACAGCTACGACATCCCCTGCAAAGTCCGTACCGTCGACGGCTCCTGGGGATGGAAAAGCTGCATACATCTTGAAATCGCTGGGATTGAGAGCTACAGACCGGGTCCGAATGAGGATCATGTTGTCGGCCGTGATGCGAGGCACAGGCACATCCTTCGCGATACCTAGTTGGAGATCTGGCTGCGTGATGATGGCTGTCTGCGTAGGAGGCGGCGTGAATTGCGTATGAACAGCCATGATGGTAAAATTGGTGGTGGGTAGGTCGGTAGGTCGGTAGAGCGCTGGAGCTTTGTTGCAGGAGCCAGAGATGCTTCTGTGTTTTACCCCTTTGACTTGGACATGAACGCAACCTAGGTAGCTGAGAGGGAATCGTGACTCTTCCTTCAATGTACCAGACACTCGACCGCCCAGTCCCGGCCGAGCCTTCCATCCTACAAGCCGGCGGTTCGCGCCCGTCTGAATATGGTCCTACCACCCAAGTTCGGTGTAAATCTCCATATTGGGAAGGGCTGTGATCCAGCTGGGTTCTGGGCCGAAGAACAGCATAGGCTGCATAACCCCCTGAAGGATGAATGAAGCACAGCGCGTGTGTGCACCGAAAGTCGGCCGCCGTCCTGTCGTTCACGGGTCTTGTTTCACCGATTCGGCCAACCTTCAGGGGCCGTTTTCCCAACCTACAGGCCCTCGGCGACAGCCTACGAGAAACTGTTCAGCGTGCCGAGCTGAAAATAGAGAAGAATCTGAGGGATAGAATTGTGTTCTTATGAGCGGAACAGTACCAGCGAATTGTCATTTGCTACACAGCGAATCGACAGCTCCGTTGTTCCCCAGATTGCACTTCTCGACATCTGCCAACCCAAACTTTGCATTGCGCTTAGATCGCAGATTACTGCTATTGATTATATTTTCCTCGTTTCAGGCAATTAAAAAATGGCAGCGCCCGCTGAGAAGTCACTCAAGGACATGACAGGCCAGTGGTTTGTCGCCACTAAGCTGTGTGAGGGCTTCGAGCAGTACCTCAGCCTGCAAGGTCTCCCCTGGTGGAAGCGTCAGGTAAGCTCGATATACCCTCTCTCCCAATACATTCTTCGTGTGTTGCTTCTAACTTTACATCCACACCCTCACAGTTTCTTCATATTCTCACAGTCAAGGAAACCCACACCCAATACGTAGACTCGGAAGGCATCACCCACATCGACGTGGCCCTGAGTATCAGCGGTGGGTTCGGCGGGAACTCTGAGAACCGTATCATCGACAACAAGAAGCACGCCGTCGAGACGGAGATGCTAGGCACCCTATATGAGCAGTGCCGCTGGGCCAACCTCGAAGAAGTGGACGATGACCCTTGGCTCAAGGAAGGTTGGGTTTACACCAAAGACGAACGCGAGAACGGCGGGGCCGGGCCCAACGGAGAGTTGCACATTGAGAGCCGGGGCACCAATTCCAGCGGCAGCTTCTCGACCGTTGGCCTCTGGGGCTTTATCGAAATCAACGGCGCGCGCTATCATTGCCGCAAGGCCATCTGCCGGAAGGGCAAGGAGAAGGCCCGCGTGCTTGGAGTCTACGGCTATGTAGGGCCGGCTGAGAAGTGAGGTGCATATCTGGCTTATTTCCAATTGTGTTGATGTTTAAATTTATCTATGCAAGACGTAGCCCTTTTCCTCGCAAGACAAAAATGCTAGAGAAATGTTGCGAGGCACCTTTGACTCGTCGTGAGGACAAATCCTTATGAGCCATGACTCCAGTGACAGCAATTTCGGGGCGAGGTATCAGCGACATGCACACTAGCAATGACCCAAAGCGCCAGTAGTCATTTGATTCACCTTGGCTGCAAAGCTCTTCCTAGACCTCCCAGGGCACCCACATGCAGCGAAGGCACGCCGGCCACACTCAGCAGCATCTGGCGAGCACTGCCAATCTCGCCTGCAACCGAGCCGGCTCTCTTGACAAGTTCAGATCCGACGTCCTCCGCGAAATCCGGGAACCGTCCGCCAGCGGCACGCCTAGACAGATCGCCACTGTTCCAGCAGCCCAAAACGTCACGCAGCTGATCGAATAATTCCGAGGCCATCATAACGATAAGCAACATCTGCATGGCTATGGCCGAGGCGGCAGGAGGCGCGAAGGAGCCGATGCGCAGCTCGGGCAGGAGCACGGTCTTGCCGTCGGGCGTGACGGGCGTGATGTTATGGTTGACGCATCCCCTCATGTGACCGAAAATGACCTCGTAAATGTCGAAGACGCGGTTGGAGCACGACATTATGAGCAGTAAGGTGCCCTGGTCGGAGACGAGGTCCGACACTGGCCCGTCGCGTGGATACAGTGTCCTCAAAAGATCGATGAGCGATTGTGTCATGCGGAATGTCTCATCAATCGCGAAAAGGCGACCCTCAAGTGATGGGACCTTGTCTGATGCCACCATTGTGACGGGCGGGAGGGCAGCAGAATGCTCGTACAGGCGGACGTTGAGGTCGGCCAGCCTGCGCACAGGATGTACAATGTCCACGGCGCCTGAGCGGATTTCGCCAGTCGGGGTTGGGGGCGAGATCATTGCAGGGTCCATTTGCACCTCAGCGTCGCGGTCACTCGCGTCCAAAGTCATATCGACCACCTCTTCCGAGACCAGCGAGGAGGGAATCACGGGAGCCGATATCTTGGGTTCCTCGTCAACAACGGTTAACGGGGCGCCAGGGGGCCAAAAGTTTGCCAATTCCATGGGGAAATTCCATTCTGACGAGTTTGAAGACGCAGAGGTCGAGCCCAGACTGGAAAAGTCCATGTCAAGCAGAGCAGACAAGTCCGTGAGGCCGGGGGATTTGGAACTGGACAGGCTCGTACTCCTGTCGCTGGGACTGACGCCGGAGTCAAGGCCAGCGTTGAAATCATTGAGTCCAGCGGCGGCAAAGGGCAGAGACGAGTATGGATCGATGACATGATCCGGGCGCGGTGTCTCAGGCAGACGATGAGGTTTGCTTTGTGTATCCGCCAACGAAGGTTCTGTCGTCACTGTCGTCAATGGTACCGGGAGTTCCAACGATAGATCTTGAGGCTCTGGCCTCATTCCCACATCGCAGTTCTCATGGTTGCTATGTGTATTGCGGCGCTGTCGCGGACTGAAGATGCATGCGGTTCTCAAACGGCTGCATCGTGCACAAATGCCTTGGCCGTCCTGGCGTTGGCATCGGAGCTTTTGAGAATGGCAGCGATCGCACGCGAGGCGGTTCTGGGGGTTGGCCTCCCTCCGCACAGGCATGATGACGAACACGGTAGGGAGATGCTGAGGGTTGGAAAATCATGCGGCTATCACTGCGCGTGCGGGTGAAAAGGTTCGATGTATAGCGTGAGCAGATGTCAAGGTGAGGGGGATCAGGCAAAGTGGGGTCTTCAGAGGCAGAGAGGCACAGTCAAAAGCATCAGCATACCAATGAGCAAGCGCCGTCAGCCGTCAGCTGTTTACCTACCAACCAACCTGGGTACAGTTACCTATAGGGAGTAGTCTGTGCGAGACGAACTACCAACAAAGGAGGTTTCGTCATGTAAACACATTCAGCCGGGCGGATGGGCGCATACCGTTGCTCCTGTCGCCTGGAAAGGACAAAAACGCCGAACGTGGGGGCCAGGTCAAAACGCCGAACGTACATGAAAGCACACAGGGTCTCGTTTCGCCGAACTATGGGAATCACAACTTCGGGGGCGCTTCCAACATGGAAGATCTGCTATGGGACTCGGCGATTTGAAGTTTCCGCTGATTTCGGCCGATGGAAGATTGATGGAGCAACTGTCCTCTCACTTTCGGTGCTTGTGCCGCCTTTGTGACTGCTCAGTCTTAAGGGGCGCACGATTTTGTTGAAGAGCCTCAGCCGTCCACCCCAAATTCACTTATGTTATTCGTGGGACAGTTGTGCTAGACAATCTTGCCATATCCCTTTCCCTCCCCTTCCTTCTGATTTTCAGCACATCCACCACCTTTGTCAAGATATGGCTACCAAAACCAAAGGCGACACCGAGGGCGATGCTCCTGATATCACGGTGGCTTCTCGAGACGCCTTCGAGTCCGACCAGTCGAATTCAGGCGACAAACAAAACTCGTCCATCTCTGGAGATGGCGTTCAGCAGCCGACCAAGGATAAGAATGAAGAGGAAGACTTTGCCAAGGGCAAGTCATGGCGGTTCTGGGCCATATTCCCAGCCATCATGTTCACTACGCTGCTCTCAGCCATCGAGGTGACTGTTCTCTCCACAGCCATGCCTACAATTGTGCACGAGCTCGACGTCGGCAATAGCTACGCCTGGATCATCAACTCTTTTCTCCTCACAAGCACCGCATTTCTGCCCGTCATTGGGCAGCTCGCCGACGCCTGGGGCCGCCGGTGGCCTACCATCATCAGCGTTGCCATCTTCACAGTTGGCAGCGGCATCTGCGGTGGCGCCAATAACGCGGAGACGCTCATTGTAGGCCGTGCTATCCAAGGTCTCGGCAGTGGCGGTCTCAACATGCTCATCGATTTGATCATTTGTGATCTCATTCCCCTGCGTGAGCGTGGCAAGTTCATCGGCCTCGTCAATCTTGTTTTCGCCGTCGGCCTCTTCACGGGGCCGTTCATCGGTGGTAGCATCGTCCAGCACACTTCGTGGCGTTGGGTCTTCTGGATCAGCGTGCCAATCGGTGGCGTGTCGCTTTTGATGTTGTACGCCTTCCTTCGCGTCAACTATGTTCACGCTCCCTTCAAAGAGCGCGTCAAGACCATTGACTACATCGGCAACATCATGGTTCTCGGCTCTACGACAGCCATCCTGTATGCCCTCACCTATGCCGGTACCGAATACGCCTGGACTGACGGCCGCGTGCTGGCGCCACTGATCATCGGTCTCGCCGGCATGGTTGCTTTCCATTCGTACGAAGCTTCGAGATTCTGTAGCCATCCGACGATCCCACCTCACCTTTTCGGCAATCGCACGTCCTCCATCGCTTTCCTCATCACTTTCCTCCATGCCCTAATGACACTATGGACACTGTACTTCCTGCCCGTCTACTTCCAGGCCGTGCAGCTCGTTTCACCGAGCCGCTCAGGAGTACAGATCCTGCCCACCGTCTGCGCCATGATCCCACCGGCACTGATTGCCGGCCAATACCTCAGTCGCACAGGTAGATACAAGCTCCTGCACGTCGTCGGCAGCATCTTCATGGCCGCCGGCCTCGGCAGCTTCGCAGCCCTGAACCGAGACTCGAGCACGGCGGCATGGGTCTGCCTCCAGATGATCCCGTCGTTCGGCAACGGACTGCTGACGACGTCGCTGCTGCCAGCCGTGCAGGCGTGCCTCACAGACGAGGACAACGCATCGTCGACGTCGACCTGGGCGTACGTTCGCAGCTACGGCGCCATCTGGGGCGTGACGATCCCGGCGACGACGTTCAACAACATCTTCTCGCGGAACCTGTGGAAGATTTCTGACCCCGCTGTGCGCGCCGCTCTCGGCGGCGGCAATGCCTATTCGTATGCCGCGCGCGACTTTATCAAGTCGTTCCCCGTCGAGGCGCAGAACGAGATTCGCGAGGTTTATACGGACGCCCTACGTATCTCGTGGGCCGTGGCGGCGGGCATCATGGGCTTGGCTGTTGTGTTTTCGTTCTTTGAGAAGGACGTTGCGCTGAGAGCATCGCTGCAGACGCAGTTTGGCATCAAGGAGGAGCAAAAGGAGAAAGACGAGGAGGCATCGAAGCCGGGGGAGAAATAGGGCACCATGCTGGTCGTCTGGTAGTGTTGAAGGTCACCAGCGAACTGCTTCGGATATCTTCGATCTTTTCTGTCCGTCCTTGGGGATTCAAGTATACGATCGACACTTGACAGTGAGTGCAGGCAAGATGCAGAGAAGTAGAGCAGAGTGAAGAAAAACGTGTAATGTGCCACCAGGACGGACTTAGCAAGTGCGCCAAAAGCCGTCATGACGAAGAAAAGAATGCTTTGAGTTTTACAAATCGTTAAAGTGTTTTCATGGCGACTGTCTATCTTGAGTCATTTCACCCTACGTTGCATACGGATGGATGGGGCCAGACGTGGATAGGAAGTGTCGGAGCGTGGTTTAGAACAGAGGGAAGAGGTCTTCCGCACGTATTTCGCAGGTGATGGAATATAGGTAGGGGGTTGGAACACATCTGAATTCTGGCCTTCCGCAGCTTGGAGTGCCCTCCGCAGCCTATATGTATACGTTTCTCGTAGCCCCTAGCCCCTGACCGACCCCCTGCATGGCGGCTCCGCAGAGTCGCTTGACAATGATTTTCTCTGTGGCACATTGCTTGGGCTGGTCGTTGAGCTGGTTGTGCTCTGTCGCCGGTTGGCATTTTTCATGTTGGTATCGTGCTTCATGCGACTGAGCTATTGATTCGGCGGCGATTGTCCCCTTTTCTAACTAAGCTAAGTTCAAGTAGGTTCGTCAGAGATGTTGAAGTTCTCCAACTTCTGCTGTAATTGACGAATGGCAAGGTCGCGATCATCCTCCACTTTCCGCGCATCGTCTATTCTCCCGGCTCTCTCGAGGATCCTGCGATAATGTATCAAGGAATTCACCGTCCAGTCCGACCATCTTCCAAAAGTTTCGATGCTGGCCAGTATAGCTCGCAGAGCCGACTCCCTGGCAAGTTCCACTAGGCCCTCGGCCTCGTCGATCCTAGAGATAAGCATGTGGACGGCTGGCAGCATTTCCTTGTGGTCTAGATCGCCATCATGCATCGCAAGCACCTCCGTTGCCATGAGACGTCCTGAGCGGAGATCTCCCAGCTTGACGTAGGCAGCAGCCAGCGCCTTCTTCAGGTTTGCATGGTCCTTGCATTGTGTATGACCCTGTGCCTCAGCCGCAAGAACCATACACTGACCCATGGTGACAACTTCAGTAGGACTAACTAGGTCATAACAGAGGAGCCGGTCCATGGCGTCCGACAGCATGTCCTGAACGATGGGAAAGGCGGCACCGAGGGTCTTGTGTATGAGGTTGATGTATGCAAGAAGCATTCGGCTCGCATGCCTGACGATGTCTTGTGGGCTCAAATGGCGCATGAGCAACAGCATGCGGCGGAGGGGATGGGATGAGATGGCCCAAGGGAGTCGTTCAGAGACGCAACATAAGGCTTGTATAAGCCATTGGGAATACTCGGGATGGCCGCGAGCAAAATACAACACGGATGTGTACAAGAAGGGAAACAATAGCGGATCCTGGCGTGCAAGTTGTCGTGAACTTTGAGCGATGAAGATGTGGAGGAAACGATGAGCCTCGGCGTTCTTCCCTTCCTGCAGGACCCAGGTAGCGGACATGACGGAACTGCACCAACCCGGCACAATAGTCTCATTCTTGAGTCCGTCTCCCTCATCTCGTTGCCAGTGACCGGGCTCGCATGAACCTCTCACGTATGATTGGAGGAGGTGCATATAGTAGTCTGGTAGAAGGACGTCGGTAGGCGGACTTGGCATGACATGGGATGCGAGTTCGATCGTGTCTCTGTAGGGTGCCATTGTCGTATTCAGGGGCTGCAGAACACGACCAGCAAGAAGTTCCCTTCTGCTTTTGGGTAACCTCTGCAAGTATCGCCTCCTCTTCTTCTGATAGTCCAGCTGGCTCTCGGGGCGAGATGAAGGCCTCAGAGCGTGCTCGTGTTGCAATGCATCAAGAACACGCGGTATCGTCATGTTTTTTCTGATACCCCATTGCGTAAATCGCGATTTGTACATTTTTGTACTAGTACACATGGTCAGCAAGTAAGTTCCATCATGATTGGTCGCGGAGGTAGACATACCTCGCATGAAGTCCATACTCCAGACGCATACGCTCCATCAGCCTCGGCAGTGTCAAGCCTTGATCAAGGTAGAGCTCCGTAATCGTCACGCGCAAGTCATCCCAGCTCAAGGCAGGCATGCTGCTCTGCGGAACTGTGCTGGCGAAACCCTCCATCTCTGCTCTGTGCGGTGCGGCAATCTGAAGGCACGGTTGGGTCAGAGATGTCTGGACTATAGGCACAGAAGGTGCTCACGGGAATTTCAAGCTGCGGAAGATAGTTCCCTTTATAAGTACTCTGTAAAGGTGGTCCTCTTAAAGGCTCAGCTGAATTTGGTTCTGCTCGTGCATCCCCGGCTCCGGGGGTTTTTCTATTGAACACCTTATTTATCACTTAAGCTTGAGAGGGCAGCCAAATATTTTGCCATGATCGGCAAGGTGACATCGCCATCGCCACCACCAGACTCGGCGTCGAGGAATGAGGCGCAGTCTGTTTCTTCAGCTATTTTTGCCGGTAGGGAGGGGTGGTCTGACAGTCCTGGGGAGTCTCAATACTCATCTCTCTCTGGATTCGAGGTCATCATTCACCTAAAGTGGTGAAAGGGGAGTCGGTCAGTACCCGGCCAGCAGCTGTGACAGGTGGACGCACATCAAACTTGCACTTTCGACCCTCGCCCGACGAAAGGAGGCCGCCTTGGCATTATTGCCTGTTTTCTTTGACACTGAAGCCTAAGACACCTTCACTGCATGGTGTAAGATGCACTTTAGTGCGGGGGGGATGACTGGTGGCCCAACAAGTCCACACCGAGGCTGTGGGCAAGGGTTCTCGAATGAACAGGTCTGGAACATGTCCAACTCAAGAAAGCAGAGGAGAATAAATGCAGGTTGGGCCAGGGAAAGGGTGTCACACGACATGTGATCACATCCGTCACAGCGAACCACACAGGGCGACGCAGCCTTGTGAAATAGGTACCTTAGTGGACGTGAGATTCCTTCAACCAAAGATTTGCGATGTCCAATCTATATTGGAAGAAATTTGTGACCAAGTCATCTCATGATGGGACACGATTGGGCGAGCGATGTCAACGCCTTTGAATGCACATAAGTTCTTTGCATTGCCACCTTGTCTGCCTCTTTTGGGCCGACTGCCTCGGTGCTCCTTCGCCGTGACACACGAACGATGCTGCAAGGCCCGAGGATCAACTCCAGCATGCTCGATGAAGGACTTCATCCAGGTGGATTAGGAATAATTGGCAGGGCGCTCTCAATGCGAAGTACGCGCTTGGCTTGACATAAGTAGGACGACACTGCACGAAATACGCAAAGCAATGATCGATCTGTCCATCAACACTCCTCTCTCTCATACTCTACATGCACCAGATTCATCGCTTTCCACAGCTACCAGTGACTGCAATTTCGACCTCTCACTCATCGTTTCCACACCATGACCCGGGCTGAGGTTTTCCGGTCTCTCACGCCCTATTATGACAGCCAACACGGCCTCATCTTGGATCTTGGCCACAGGTTTGGCGCCTATCAAGAGGCCCTCCATGACACCGCCACACCACCCCACCGGCTGAGACAGGCTTGTGCCAATCTCATCGAAGACATCAACGATGATCTTGTGTCCCTCGGCTTTGGGGTCAGGGTCCAAGAGAACAGCAAGCTCAGCTCAGACCGGGCCGTCGCCGATCTGCGTCGCATCCGGGTCAGCATTTGCGCAGTCATGTCGCCAGATAATACGATGCCGATCTACTTCTACATCGGCGTGGCCACGGGCATCCTGCTTGCTGGCGCGAGGAACAAGGACAGCAAAGTCAGAGCCAAGAAGACCCTGCACGATATCAACATGTTTGCCTTGGACATGAAAATAAACCACGAAGCCCTCTGTGACGAGTTGCAGGCACTGGTTCTGGGGTCACACCCGACAATGGCCCTGAACTTTGTCAAGATGCGGTTGCAGCATTTGCACAGTGACGACAAGGTCATCTTCGTCACGTCCGATCCAGGCGGCCGAAAGCTCTCTGACGCCCAGAGGGGGTTCGGAGCTGACAAGACGGCCGATCAGCGAACAGAGCCTCAAGAGCACAAGCGGCAGACCCAACACCTCTCTGGCCACGGTGAAGCGCGAGGCGTCGCCATTCCGAACGAGGCAGGCCAGGTTGATGTTGTTCAAATGAAGGATCTTACAGACCTGATCCGGCTCATCAGCGTCTCGGGAACTCCCCTCGTCTCACAGTTCCTGCCCGAGCAGCAGACAGTCAGATGCAGCACCTCGCCAGTACCAACAAGCCGCCTGCGCGAGAGTTCCAGTGGACGACGAAGCCGCCGCCATCGCCAGGAAGACATTGCGAGTTTTTCAGAAGCATGCGATGAATACGGTGGCCATGGAGAAGAGTTTGAACTGCTCACAGTCAGGCACCGCTCCGTAGAACGCTCTGGATCAAGAAGATCTCGAACCGATAGTCGACGGCCTGAGAGAGGATATGATGATCACCACGCAGACTGCCACTACTACCGAAGCAGCGTGCGCCTCGGGAGACGGCGCCCGCGGCTTTAGCGAGGCGTACTGGAGGGCACCCGCTGTTGTTCAGGATCACTGAGCTTATGTGGATAGACCTGCCGCAGTCAAGGAGAACTTGGGGCTCCTCCCATTAGGTTTTTTTCTCTATAGTTTTCCTTTCCAAGTTTCTTTGGCGCGATTCGGAAGCAAAGTCTACTTGATAGGTTGTTTGTTGATCATTTCAGCGATTTCGTTGGCAACTTTTCATGTGGCAACGCGGGTTGTTGGTGACTGGCATCGAGTGCTGTTATATTCGTTTATGCTCGAATTGTTTTGGAAAAATGTTTATAAGAAAAAGGATAAGATAAAGAAGAAAAAAAAAGAAAGGAGAAGGAAGATGATTTAATCGACTTTTATTTTCATGTTCATATGTCCTGATCTCTCAATATGATAAGAACAGGGTGGAGACCACTGCCTCGCTGGGTAGAGGGTAGAGAGGCACCGCTGAGTCAGCAGTTGACGCAGCAACACCCGATTTGTTTATTGTAGTGGGCAGGTCTCTCTCCATCCCACGCGAAACATCAGCTCCAGCCATCAACAATCTCGACCATTTGCCACAACCCCTCGACGACACTTGCATCCGACATCATCACCACCATCGAGACCGCCATCATGGCCTACAACCCCCGGATGAGCATCATCCCCAACCACCAGACGCAGAACCGCGCGCGCAAGAAGGAGGATGAAGCCGACGCGTTCATGCGCCTCCCTGACAAGGAGATTGTCGGCTGCATAACGGACATCGGCATCCCCTTCTCCGTGGCCGACCTCCAGAAGCCCAACCCGCTGCAGGTGCAGATGATCTTTGAGTGGTTCGCCGAGCTGCTGCTCAACGCGACGCGCGAGACGGTGGAGCCGGCGATGCGCGCGGCGGCCGAGGACGTGTGCGGCGAGTACAGCGACGTGGTGCCGCCCGACACGCGCAACCTCATGGGGTTCTACGTGTCGCTGCGGCGGCTGCTGCTCGAGTGCGGCGTGGCCGACTTTAGCTTCAACGACCTCTACAAGCCGAGCTACGACCGGCTCGTCAAGATCTTCAGCTACCTCATCAACTTTGTGCGGTTCCGCGAGAGCCAGACGACGGTGATTGACGAGCACTTCAACAAGGCCGAGACGACCAAGGCGCGCATCGAGAGCCTCTACGGCGAGAACCACGCCATGGAGGCGCGGCTCGAGGAGATGAAGCGCACGCGGCGGGCGCGCGAGGCGCAGATGCGCGAGAAGACGCTGCGCAACGAGGAGCTCAAGAAGACGCTGCTCGAGCTGCGGCGCAACCAGGAGCGCGTGGCGGCGCGGCTCGAGGAGGCGCGGCTGCGCAAGACGGCGCTCGCGGCGCAGCTCGAGGACCGCACGGCGGCCAAGCTGGCGACGCGGCAGGAGAGCGCCAAGCTGCGGCCGTACGCGTCGCAGAGCCCGACGGCGCTGCAGGCGACGCTGACGGAGCTCAGCAACACGCTGGCGCACGAGCGCGCGCACATGGACGGCCTCGACCGGCGGTCGCGCGCGCTGCAGACGTCGGCCGACTCGTTCGCCGTCGTGTCGACCGACGTGGCCTCGTGGCGTCAAGGTGCTCGACGAGGGCCCCCGCCGAGGCTGGCCAAGGAGGACGACGAGAACCTGGCCAACGCCCCGCAGGCCGGACGCCCTGGCCGAAGCCCGGCAAGGACGTGGGCGAGGGGGAGCGCACGGGGGGCCGTGGGGGCGGGCCCCGGGCCGGGAGGGGCTAGAAGCCCTCCTTCTCGTCTTGTTTTTTTCTTA